ACAAGCCAATGGATTCATCCCACCGTATGCCAACAGCCGGTCAACACCTCTTGGCAAATTCACAGCCAAAGAACAGATGATCAATATCCTCCTCACAATTGTCGGTGCAAAGTATACAGAAGGTGTCATTGTCCCCAACGTTCAGATTCCTGCGTCTTAGCATGGTTTTCTTATTTAATCTGCCCACCATGATCAGGCAGCCAAAAAAATTAACTCTCGGTGTGCACATAGAACTGCCCACCATGATCAGGCAGCCAAAAAAATTAACTCTCGGTGTGCACATAGAACGCCATAACCAGCTAAATGCTGGGTGAGCCTCCAACTGCTGAAAAGCGAACTGATAAAACTTTCAAGGTATGATTGCACAGTAACAACATATATCATGTGACTTAACTTTATAGCTCAAGAGACATCACAACTGTGACGTGTGTAGCATTAACCATTATATGTGACTTCTTAAACTCTAGACCGACGTTAGGCTAGCCTTGGAAAGCATAGGAAGGATACAAGTGGGAACTTTTAAAGCAGCAACACAACACCACTGCTGGCTCTGAGCTGTAAAGAACTGAAAGACAAATGGCAAATATTAGCACGTATACAAAGGTTTTGTATTGACTATCTTGACTCTAGAACTTTGGCACCCATTACCTCACATTCACAGTCCAACCTCTACCTTCATCCTCTTGCGTCAAAACCGTCCGAGATTCCCTGTACTGCAAATCAAATCCGCAATCTGAGCCAACTTTGGCTATAACAATAAAAAAAATACTCTGTACAATAAGGAAAGAGATAGACGAGTGTTGGGTGCAAATCCTTTAGCAGCAGACGCAGCAGCACTATCAGTTGTTAGCGAGAAGCGTGTGCCTATACCCCTCCTCTTCTTCCACTACTCTCCACCCTACTGCAAGAGCAAGCTGAGCAGAGTCACCATTGACGACGATGTCCGGACTGTTTGCGTCTCTGTCGGTAGGGAGGGCATGGGAGAAGCTATCCTCCTTCCTACGCGTTTTCTCCATGGCGCCGTCCTCCTCGTCTTCAGTGAGCCAGGAGGAAGATCTGGAGGAGCTGAGGAAGCTGGAGAGGACCATGCGCCGGAACCGGCCAACCCTGCATGACGCCGAGGAGCACTGGAACATCCACGAGGAGTCTACCAAGCTACGGCTCAAGGAACTCAAGGAAGTGGCGTACGACATGGAGGACGTGGTGGACGAGTACGACTACGAGGTTGACCGCTGCAGGTTGGCGGCTCTTGACCGATCTGCCGGCGTCCACAAAACCGGCAAGCGCAAGCATGAGGTAATTAATTAGCTCTCATCATCATTTATGTGCATACAACTATGGACCTGATCAAGCTATACCACTGAAAATGTGAATCTGGATTCCAGATTCATCATAGATCAGGTCCACCGTGGAGCTGTTTTTCGTGGAACTCTACCAAATAGGCCCTATTAGATAAGTTTCTTTTATATACTCTCTCCGTGAATAAATTAAATTCTAGAATTGTCATAATTTAATTTTTTTATGTTTGTTCGAATTAATAGAAAATAGCACAAATTCTTTTGACACCAAATGGACAAATTATTAAAATAAAGTTTATGGTATATCTAATGATACTAATTTGGTGTCATAAATTTTGGCACTCTATAAATTTGGTCAAACTTAAAAAAATTTATTTAAAATAACTTTAGAAATTGATTTATTCACGAACGGGCGGAGTATGTTGTGTATTTATCATGTCTTATCTTGTTCCAATATTTCTCTGTGAAAAAAGGAATCATATATGGAAAATGACCTATATATCCTCTTATTCTTTCTTCAAAAAGGAAATGGAGGCCTATCCGGTGGATGCTGGTGTAGTGGTTGTTCCTACTGACCTGGTTCTTCGAGCAAGGAAAATAACGGAGAGGTTCAATGAGATCATACATTACTCTGAACATTTCAGTTTATCTGAGAATGATGGAGAGAGACGATTTGCTCCAGATCTTAGTACTTCGCGGCATACAAGCTCTGTCGTATTCGACAAGAGCATTATTGGGCGAGAGCAAGACAGAGACAAGATAATTGACAAGTTACTGTCTAGGAAAGGGGAAAATGCAGTAAATCCTGTTTCTGTGATGCCCATTGTTGGTATGGGAGGACTAGGCAAGACAACACTAGCACAACTTGTGTATAACAGCCAAAGGGTGAGACAGTCCTTTGAGAACTGTGCCTGGGTGTTTGTGTCCGAGAATTTTGATATCAAAACAATGACAAGGAACATCATTACTTCCATAACAGAACCGGGTCAGCAGTGTATGCATTCAGAACTTGCTGATCTTCAGAGGAAATTAGCAACAGTAATGAATGGGCAGAGAGTTTTCCTTGTGTTGGATGATGTATGGAATGAGCGAAGAGACTGCTGGGAGTTGTTTTGTGCTCCTATGACAGCTGCAAAGGTTTGCCAGATCATAGCTACCACCAGGGTTTTCATTTTCGGAAATTAAAATTTATCGGGGGTCATAGATAAAGAGGATAAACAGGATATATCGGAAATATCAGACCAAATTCAAATAAAATTTAATTTGAATTTAAGTAAATTTAAATAAATTTTGTTCGAAAAAAGATAGATATTTTCTTATCGGCACCTACGGATAAAAAAGGATATATCGAAAATATCAGAAGATTTCGGCCGAAAAAGGAAACCATGGCTATCACTCGGAGCGAGGCAGTGGCAAGGCTGATACAGACTTATGCCTTTTTATCCCCTAAATTGTCTAAGCTTTGATGAGAGCTGGTCGTTGTTCTGCAAAGTTGTCTTGACTGCTGAACAAGAGTCTGATGACATCCCAACAAACCTAATAAAGATTGGAAAGAGTATTGTTACAAAGTGCAAGGGCTTGCCACTAGCGATTAAGACACTAGGAAGCATGTTGCGCTATGAAAATGACCAAAGGAGATGGATGAATGTCTTGGAGAGTGAACTGTGGGACTTAAAAGAACCGAGGGACGAGATTTTGGCAGCACTAGAGTTGAGCTACAAGCACATGCCTGTACAATTAAGACGGTGCTTCCTTTGTCTTTCTCTATTTCCCAAAGATTATAAGATTTATGCTTCAGAAGTGTCTCGTTTGTGGAAATTACTTGACTTGCTTGATTCTGATGGAAGTGATAACGAGTGTGAAATTGCCAAATTTTATTTGAAGGAGTTAGCTCAACAGTCAATACTTCAGCTAGATTAGTGTGATGATTCATACCTCTTGCATGACCTTATCCACGATCTTGCTTGCTTTTTTGCTGGGGAAGAGTTCCACAGAATTGAAGAAGATACCTCGACTGAAATTCCACAAAATGTTCGGTATCTGTCCATAAATAAAGCTATTGCATCAGCTGACATCTCAGTTTTTCCACATTCTGTTAGGGTCATCAGAGTGATGAGCCTTGATGATAAGCATGAAACTATACTTCAAGAATCACTATTTTCAACCAGTAACAAGTTGCGGGCACTGGACTTGTGTCAAAACTGCAGCCTTGCCTTAGTATTGCAAGATTGCGTGGGGTCTCTGAAACTACTACGCCACTTAATTATGGATCGTTATTACGGATCCTCTATCTGGACCTTGCACGTGCAGAATCTAGTACTGAGTGGAGTTGGGCAGCTTACTCGCACTCGCTTGCATACTTTGCCCCAAATGCGTATCGGACATCATTGTAGTTTCAACATAAGAGAGCTGAAGAACATCAATCAGATTAGAGAGCTGAGTATTTCTGGACTGAATAAAATTTGCCATGTTGAAGATGCAATTGAAGCCCAGATGCAGAGCAAAAAACACCTCCGATCATTAAGTTTGTGGTTTCATGAAGACGAAGATGAGTGTCTCTGTGGTCTGCGTCCAGAGCATATGAATGTGACAACACCACCCGATCAACTATTACTACTAGACAGCTTGCGACCACATCACAACATAAGGGAACTGGGCATATTCCGGTACAACTTTGGAAAATACCCTAGATGGTTGGAAAATGATTCCTTGTCCATGTTGACGAGAATAACATTAAGCCGTGGTGAACATAAACAACTCCCAAAGCTTGGTGGCGCCTACGTTCCCTCAAGTACCTCACTGTCCACCATATGCGTTATATGGAATGTATCGCCCTGAGGTCTTCCACACAGCTACTTGTAGGAGATAAAGAATTTCCATCATTGACAGAATTGCAATTTGTGATTATGCCCAAGTGGTCAGAATGGTCTGGAGCAGATGCCGGGAAATTTCCATGCCTAAACACACTTTGGTTGTCACTTTGCCCTAAACTGAGCTCCCTTCCATTGGGGCCATTCCGGTGTTTGATAACTTTGAAGCTAACGTGCTGTTATCACTTGGCTACGTTTCCTGCATCCCCAGCTCTTCGTAAATTAGAGATTGAAGATTGTTCTGCTCTAAGAGAAATTCCTACTCTTCCATCCCTTTTGGTTTTGGAGCTTAAGGTTCGAGGATGTCCATGTCTAAGCTCACTTCCTACTCTCCCATCACTTCTGAAACTGCACATATCTGGGTGTCCAAGCCTCATTTCCATTGGTTCTATTTCTTCTCGCTGCTGCACATGGTGGTCAGCTCAGTCTCTTCGCTCCCCAAACTTACAACCATGTGCTTCCTCACCTCTGCTGTTGTATTGTTTATAACATGGCTCCAAGCCAACTCTTTAGATAATTATCCCTCCACCTACCAGTTATATGGGATCTGTGGAATATAATTCAGGTGTGATCTTAAAAAAAAAGGATGAATTACTGTACAGTCCATTGAATGACTTCCTATCATTGCACACAGTGCTTAAATATTCATAATGTGACTTCTTATATCTCGTATCCCAACCAAACGGACTCAACTGCTTTGTTTTGACTTGGGAGCATAAAAAATTCAAACATTGCATGACTCAAACAGTTCAACTATCGAGTGCCACAACACTAAAACATTCATATATACACTACAAATAGGCTATTGATTTTACAAGCAATCTGCCCTCAATTAGTTCTTAGGTCTTATCTCAAAACCCTGCAAAATAAGGCCTTTCTTCCAGTTGCCTCCATACGTGGTCTCTCTCACTCTTGCGCAAACCTGTTTGTCTTCACCTCCGTGGTTGTCCCACTCCCCTATCTCCAGCTCCATCCACCCATCGGGCCTCTCCATGGGAAGCCGAGGAGCAGCTCCTTCCTCGGCGCCGTCGTTCTGTTCGTTGCCTATGTTGTTCTGCAGGCGGACTGGGTGGGATGATATCTCGTCTTGTCCAATGTAGATTGATGCCACCTGCAGTGGAGAATCTAGGCCGTAGCAGTCATCGTCCATCTTGAACACTAGGTAGGCGGCGTAGCGCGTGTTTTCGGATAGCATCCTGCTTTCTATGGAGCCGCTGAAGTCCAGCCAACAAACCGCCAACAGTTCAGCGCATTCTGGGAACCTGTGATAGTTTTGAAGCAAGTTGAAGTTCAGGTTGTTTATTCAGAGCAAAATTCACCGCTCGTCCAAGAACTTGACCAGCGGAGTGATATCTGTGCGCTCCAACTTGACAAACGGTGTCATCCAAGTTCCTAAATTTTCAAGCGCAGATCCCTAAATTTGGCACGGTGTCATCTCGATTCCTGAACTTTTAAGGTGATCATCATAGGTCCCTAAACTTGACAAGCAATATTATCCCTGTCCAAATATAATAATATTAAAAGTTACCTATAGAATTAAAAGTTTTCTCTATTAAAAGTTACTTCTAATTTTAGTATTATTTTAAAAGTTTTAATAGTAGAATTATAGAAGTAACTTTTCTTTGTTATTAAAACTGTAACATTATTATTAAAACTTTTAATACTATAATACTACTATTAAAAGTTCTAATACTATAATACTACTATTAAAAGTAATAGTATTATTGAATTATAGTATTAATAAAAGAGAAAAGTTACTTCTATAACACTACTATTAAAACATTTAAAAAAATATTAAAATTAGAAGTAATTGTTAATAGAGAAAACTTTTAATACTATAGGAATTTTAATATTATTTTCATACTATTAATGATACATAAATACTAAATTAATTTTAGTATTTTTCTATTTTAGTTTAAATCTAATATATTTGTTGTTGTAAATTATTTTAATTTAATACTTTCCCACCAGTCCATTGAATGACTTCCATCATTGCACACAGTGCTTAAATATTCATAATGTGACTTCTTATCTCGTATCCCAACCAAACGGACTCAACTGCTTTGTTTTGACTTGGGAGCATAAAAAATTCAAACATTTATTTTTTGCTGATGTAAATTATTTTATATAATTTATATTTTCATGATAAATATTATATAAATAATGATTGATTAATTGACACATGTTGGATCCACGTCTAACATACAGTCAGCGTGCCACACCAACTTATAGAGTAGGTTAGATCATATTTGGACAGGGATGATACCGCTTGTCAAGTTTAGAGACCTGCAGTGATCATCTTGAAAGTTCAGAGACTAGGATGACACCGTTGGCTAAGTTTAGGGTCCAGCGGTGATCACCCTAAAAGTTCAGGGACCTGGATGACACCGTCTACCGCTTGCCAAGTTTAGGGACCCACAGATGTCACTTTATAAGTTCAGAAACCTGGATGACACCGTCGACCAAGTTCAGGGACCGACGGTGAATTTTGCTCTTTGATTGATGAGGTAACAAACAAATAATAGCTTATATACACTAATTAGTCGAGAAAAAGGCATAGTACAGAGTACACAGGGAGTCCCCGGTCCCGTAAGTGAAAAATGGCCTAGGGGCACTTTTGTCCTTTCTTTCTTTCTTTTTTTGAATATAGGAGAAAAAAGAAAAAAGGAGAGAAATAGAGAAAATGACAACTAAAACAAGAAACACATGTTTGGGTTGGTATTCTTGCGAAGCCAGAGATTGGAATGGTAAAGTTGTGAAACCCACTATACCAGATGACAAAAATCCAATTTTCTCAAAATTGAAGCCCCAAAGATATATTTCATTATCATAGGGGTTTCATGGAACCTCCAAGAAATGCATATTATTGAGTGCTAACCCAAACCGCTAAAGTAATTCCATATTTTCTTGAGTGCTAGTCCGAATCGCTAAGATAGTCTCATGTTCCCTTGAGTGTGTTATTACAAACCGTCAAAGTATTTTTCTCATCTCCATGGGTTCTATACTCGAAACCGCCAGGTAATTCATATTTTCTTGACTCAAACTTAAAAGGGTGAGTCCTTTTTGACCCCTTTCAACTTATACGATAGTCCGAATTTTCCCCTTCATCGACAAAACTAGATTTTTAACCCCTTCAACTTTTAAAACTATTTGTTTTTGCACACTGGGCAGTTTTGGAAGGCAGTTTTGTCTCACGTGGCGTCACGTCAAACATGAAGGAGTAAATTGGATTTCTATGATAGTTTAGGGAAGTAAACCGGACAACTATTTTCTCAAATATTTCTCTCTGAAAATTATGCAATTAAAAATCCTAAAATTAGTTTAATCTTAAAAAAGTCATAGCAATTTCATTTTAGCTCAGAAAATTATGGAACTAGTTTCAAGTTTTTCTAAAATCATGCCCTGCCTTATGATTACTAAATTTGAATTATTTGAGTCTTCTATAGACTCATTTTTATTATTATTTTCAAGTACTACCTCTGTCTCTAAAAGGATGCAACTATGGGTTGTGTGCCAGTTAAAGTACTTCACGTTTGACCAAGTTTCTAGTAAATAATATTCATATTTATGGCTCTAAATAAATTTATTATAAAAATATATTTCGTAATTAATCTAATGATATTTGTTTTATATTATAAATATATATACTTTTTTATCTATAATTTATCAAACTTGATATACTAAAACATAACACCGTTTAGAATTGCATTCTTTTGGGGGACAGAGGGGGAGTAGATGATATCATATCTGTAATAATTAGTCTATATCGATGACTCAGAGCATGTTTGGTTGTGTTGTGGCTTCTAGAAAAGTTGTTGTGAGCGGTGGGTTGTGGAAAAGTAGTTTTGAGTTGTGAGCTATGAGAAAGCTGAAAGTCGTTTGTTTGAACAGCTGTGGCTTCTGAAAAAATGCTATCATTCTCTCTCACTTACGAGCGGACCACACAAGTCATCCATAGCCCTCCCCACTCAACTCTCTCCCTCTGTCACTGACGCCTCTTCCTTCTTCCTCCCGGCTGCGGATCTCGCAACCGAGCGACGGAGCTCATGCCCGTGACGGATCTCGTGACCGGCGACAAAGCTCGCGATTGGGCAGAGGTTGCTCCCTCGGTGAAGCTCTAGGGGCAGAAGTGCTCATGACAGCGGTGGATGGGGCCAGAGAAATTAGGATGGCCTACCGGAGTCGAGGAAGGGGCTAGCCAAGAGGAGTGCTGCCGGACAGGGAGAAGAATTGCAAGAAAGAAACGAACCGGTATGTTCATAACTAGTGGCAGGTGGGTAAATTATGCGAAAGTTACGATCCCATAGCTGGTGGATGCAGGTCTTGAGGTGCTGTGAAAAATAACTAGGAAGAAGATGGTTTTGTGGAAGAACTTCAGTGGTTGCCAACCTCTTTAATTAGCTTTTGGCTTTTTGGGAAGCCACAACAGGTTGAGAAGCTCAAACAAAGGGGACCTCGGATTATGAAAAAGTTTAGTGACTTTGACGAAAACACAAGTGTCATATAATAATGTAACATATCATGCTTATATTATTATTAAGACCTTGTTTGGTGCAACTATGGGGAAAAGCGGTTCCTTTTAAAGCTACACAAAATGGAGGATAGTGTGGCCAAAAAAAGCTAGTTTGACTGAGTTTGTATGTTTTAGTAAGAATTGGGGCTACGAGGAGAATGGCCAGAAAAATGCTAAAAATGCGTCGTTTGGCTTTTAGTTTGAGCTTATTTTGATTATAATAAACTGCTTATAGGCCCATAGTATAAATGAACATCCACTAAGTGTCATTTGATTCTATATATATATGACCATATGTTATTGTAGAAAGCATGGAGTGTTCTTGTCAGAGTGTGGATGAAATGACTCACACATATCACTCCAGAGACACTAGCAATACAAAAACAAATTTTAGAAAAAAATGAACATGATAGTAGATAATGAGAGTATCTACTAGCAAGAGTAGTCCATGTCATTTAGCCTTCTATGCGATTTGTTTGGTCAACATCGATTAACTAAATAAATAACGAGAACATCTGCTAGCAAATATATATAAAAGGTCCATCAAATATTCAAATAATTTCAATCTAGGCATAGTAAGATAGAGTATAATTTTAGTAAAAGTCGAAAATAGATTTGATAACTTTCTGAGCGAAAACAATTTTCTATGATTTTTATAACATTAGACTACATTTTAGGATTTTTATTTGTATAAAATTTGAAGAAAAAACATTTGATATTTTTTCAAAAAAGTAATTATAGTTCAATTTAACTCCTTAACTATCAACAAAGTCTGCTTTACTCCATCGTACGATGTGGCACGATTGACGTGGATGCCACGTCACACAAACCACACCATCCAAAACTACAGAAATAAATGTTTTTATAAAAGTTGAGGTAGGCTAAAGTCCAGTTTTATAAATGAGATGGGACTCAAACTATCGTTGGTTCAACTTGGTACAACTTATTGCACTAGATAACAGTGAGAGGGAACATTCGAAAACAAATTATTGCACTAGATAACCCACAATTTGTTTTTGCTGGATATATTATAACACACCAGATCGATCTTAATTTTAATAATAATAAAGAAATAGGGGACTTGACTGAGCAAACCTAGAGTCTTGGCGCGGGATCCACCGCCATTGCGGTGAGCCGCCCCATACAATGTGCATAGCCCTCGCCGCAACCATGTAGCACTTGGCGCCGGTCTCCCTATGCAGCCACGCGCTCTGCACGGCAAAACCGCGCACACGGATCAGCTCGCCGATCGCTAGTTTGTGATCGATCGATAAAGGGAGACAGGGAGAAGGAAGGGCGCTGCGGCGTACAGACCGTGAGGCCGTCCTCGAGGAGGACATGGGTCCCGGAGAGGCGGAGGAAGAGCTCCTTCTTGGAGCGTGGCGGCGGCGACGGGTAGACGAGCGGCGCGAGGTCGGCCGGGAGGAAACGCGACCAGACGGTGTCGGAGTCAGCCGCGGAGCGAAACGCCGGGGACACCATGGCGGCGATGCATGCAGCCCGCGGCCCCGTGGCGGCGCGGGACATCACCGACGTGAGGACGTCCGCCGGCAGCCGATTGTCCTCCATACGCCCTCCGGCAGGCCGGATTCTGGGAAGCTGCTATGGGTGAGATGAGAGCAGAGACTAGCCAGGGTGGCGAGAGCGAGAGCATCCAGTCATCCACGGAACAGAGGGCACAGCCTTTAACTCTTCCTTGCTGGCCCACGCACCGGCCGTTTCCTTGACACCTGTTGACCAAAGCTGCTGTGTGACGTGGGGCAGTGGACTCGATCTCTAGGGAGACCGAGCCAGGTCCTGCTCGCGGCAACAGCCAACACGGCACACCGTACCTAGACACGTCTTCTTAGATAGTACATCTCCTACTTCCTCCATCCAGAAGAATGACATCCTATGTTTAGAGTAAATTGAATAAGTTCATAAAAAGTAATATTACTATTGATACTACATCCGTCTTAAAAAGGACATAACTATGGGACTCGTGCCAGTCAAAAAGACTAAAGTTTGATCAAGTTTAAAGTGATTAGTATTAACATTTATGTCTCAAATAAGACTTATTATGAAAATATATTCTGTCATTAATCTGTCGATACTTATTTTGGATTATAAATGTTAGTATTTTTTGTACAACTTTAGTCAAAGTTGAAATCCCTTGACTTCTCGGGAAGCAACAATTGCATTTTTTTTGGACAGATGGAGTATTTTCAAATGAAATGAATTTATTATGTAAATATATTCATTGTATTGAAAAAAGACTACTACTCCATCCCGCAAAGATGGAGTCAAACAATTTCAACACTAATAAAATATATATAAGTAATTATTAATATTAATTGGTACATAATAAGTATCATTAGATTAATCATTAAATATATTTTCATAACAAACTCATTTATAGATAGAAATATTGCTAATATTTTTTACAAATCTAGTGACAGTTTGATCTACACAAAATTCTAGGTGAGTTAATTTTTACACAGACAGAGTATCTAATAATGTTTATTACATATTATAAATATTAGTACTTTTCTATTTAGTTATTTTGATAAAACTGAGAATGATTGACATCTCTAGAAATGAGAATGATCTTTATTTGGGGGGTAGAGACTTCAAGTTTATCTGTACATAATCTTCTGTCGCTAATATTAAAAAAGTGAAATGTGTCTTCGTTCTTCGTCACACACAACCGTTCGATAAAGATCCAATGGACTCAATCTCTTGCAAGGCTGTATAAGTTAGAGGGTGTTTGGCAGGACTCCTCCCAAGAGGCTTCTCTAGAGGAGCCGGAGGCGTCTCCTCTGTTTTTTCAGTGAAAAACAACTCCTACAAAACGTTTGGTAGAGCTCCTCCGGAGGAGCCGGAGCCGGTGAGAAGCCCTATGCCCTTAGTTTGTGATAAGCACATTGTGGAGACTGATTCCAAAATGAATTAAAAATTGAGAATGATTGACTTTTGGAGAAATGAGAATGATCTTTATTTGGAGCAGAGATAGTATGTATCAAGTTTATCTGTACCTAATCTCATGTCGCTAATATCAAAAAGCAAAATATTTCTTCGTTATTCGGCACACACAACCGTTAGTTTGTGATCAAGCAAATTGTGGAGACTGATTCCAAAACAAATTAAAATACAAAGTGTTTCAATGTTCCGCCACTCTATCACGTGCCTGAACAGCTAAGTGTTTTAGTATGTTATGGAGTTCGATCCCAAAACGAATAATTGCATCGTACAATCGTTGATAAATCTCTAAACCTCTTGTACCCATACATGTTAGAGTAACAGGCGTCCATATACAGTGAAATTTGATTTCCAAATAAATTGAAACACATGACATAATTGCGAGCTAAATGTCTTATTACATTGCATGGGTATACACTACGCTAGCCATGATCTTTAGGGGCGGATGGTGACCCTTTGTAGGGCGGTTTTACCGGCCGCCCCTACGAAGGGGTGGTTACAAATCGCTGATTTGTAGGGCGGCTGGCCAACCGCCCCTACAAATCGGTTATTTAGGGGTGACTGATGATTTGCAAGGGTGGTTGGATATAGAGCCGCCCCTACAAATCAATTTTCAAAAATTCACAAAATCGGGTCAAAAGAAATAGCAAAAAAAATCCCGAGAGGCCCTACCAGTCAATTTTTTTCAAATTCAAATGTAGTTTTTCTTAACAAGATTATTTTAAATCAAAAAGTTGTTAACTACAAAGTTGTATAACTTTTTTGGATCTACAAATTTTATTTTGGTTGTTTCTCCATCCGAGGTCGTTTGAAAATTTTGAAATTCAAATTTGAGAAATTCAAACGTAGTTTTCCTTGACAAAATGAATTCAAATAAAAAAGTTATCAACTACAAAGTTCTATAACTTTTTGAGATCTACAACTTTTATTTTGGTCATTTGATCATCCGACATAGTGGTAGTAACATTGTTCATAAATTTCACTTATCCCTCTTATAGTTTATGAAACTAAGAGAAATGTATAAATTTTGTGAACAATATTACTACCACTTCATCAGATGAAGAAATGACCAATATAAAAGTTGTAGATCTTCATGAGTTTTACAACTTTTATGTTCATGACTTTTTAAGCTGAAATCATTTAATATTTCAAAATAACGTTTGAAATTGCTATTTTTTCGTTGAAGCAACTAGACATCTAAAGTGTAGGTGGTCCACTGTTTCCTCTTTACCACAACATTTTCCATACATAGAGCCATCCCAATTTCTTTGTCGAAGCTGGTCTGTCGACAGGATCCTATCATGTCATGCTATCTAAAGGAAAATTTGCGCTCTCAGTGGAATTCTCATTAACCAGATATCCATCATGCACATATCAATAACACCCCCTCCCAGTTTATATGTATCTATGCAGACTACTCTTTGACGTGGAAATGGCGGATTTCACAAATTTCCATGTTACAAAATCCTTTTATGAGATTAGATTGATCTCTTCCAATTTTTCCATCATGCCACCCCATTGCCCATTCCACCCTTTCTCTCTATCTCCACAAAATTCCTTCTGTAGTGGCCAGCTTCCACCACAGCTTCCTTGCGAGAACTGCGAGCCGCCTTTGCTATTACTCTGGCTTCATACACTACTACACAAATCTTATAGGAGATGGCCGGCTCCGTCAAAAGGTCACAGTAAATCACAAACTACCAAGGCGGTTGATATGCCCACCTAGGTTAATCAATAAAAAAACAAAAAAAAATCCAACGAGTCCGTCGATAAGGCCCGTTGAGCCCATCGCCGAGCCCACCGAGCCCATCCACGCGTGCACTGTCGCTGCCCACCGGATTTGTGTGTGCGCCAGCACCGCTCGTCGGATCCAAATGTCCCTGAGCTGGATCCGCCTCACTAGTGCCTAATCTGCCATGCTCGAGCAGGATCCGTCGCTCCCATGCCGGATCCGCCGCTTCTGTGGCGCTCCCGTGCCGGATCTGCCGCTTCCATGCCGCAGCCTGCCCGCCGTAGGAGGCCCCGTAGCCTCACCCACGCCGCACCTCGCCGGGGGGCCCGCACTTCGCCGGGGATCCCGCTCGCCGAGCCACCGCCAGGGCTCCAACGCTTGTCGGTCCTCCAAATCTGCGCTAGCCGGGGCTCGGGAGAGGGAGGGAGAGGCGCCGCTGCCGCCGCTGTGGGCTCGGGAGGGGAGGGAGAGGCACCGCTGCTCGGGAGAGGGAGGCACAGGAGAGGGAGGGAGAGGTGCCGCCGCTTAGGCTTAGGCTCGGGAGAGGGAGGTAGAGGCACCGCCACTCGGGCTATTGAGAGGAAGGGGAGGTGCTGTGTGAGATTCAGAGGGAGAGATGAGTGAAACGGCTTCGCCTGGGCCTCTTGGGCCTTGGTCTTTTTTTTTTGAGGTGGGCTTTTCAGGAGGCCCGCCTCTGAAAATGGCATTTATTTTCGGAGGCGGGCCTCCGTAAATCGATTTTAGGAGGTGGTTATTTTTTGACCGCCTTCACAAATTGATTTTACGAGGCGGGCAATCGTGACCGCCTCCGTAAATGAAAACGTCCATCTCTGAAAATCCCCAGGCATTTTACGAGACAATTGGATTTATGACCGCCTCGGTTAATAAAAGTGCACCGTCTCGCAAAATCATTTGTGTAATAGTGATACACGCATCTTCGTGATATTGTATCCGGCAGGGGCTAGGGTCATCGAGTTACTATTATTTTGATTAAGAGACAAAGAAGGAAAGAACTTAAACACCGGTGTACCTAACCATACAGGCAACTAACGATCTCTAGCCTTGGCGATTTGACGAGTTCTTTTTGAGCGCGTGCACCATTATTCTGCTGGCAGGTACGCAGCTATTGTGCTCACAAACGCATACAAGGTTTACGGTCGAATCTACAGTACTATCTGGAAAACTAGCTATGTGCTATTATTCCAGCTTAATAACTAGGAAGTTGCTAGTTGCGTGTGACAAGTAGTCTCCCCCGATCAACATCACAATAAGTGGGGCTTTATTTCGCTATTAGTCGGCAAAAGGATGGATGCGAACCTACACACGGCCTGTGCAATGAAGATGGCCTCGTGGCCATATGCTGATCCACTAACTCTGATCCTTGGTCCCATAGTTTATCACAACGTGAGATCAGCAAAAAAGTGATGGTAATTGGTAAATGGCGACCTCGCCAAAGTGATGTCCATATATCACACCAAATTCTTATTCGGTGCGCGTGCGTCGCTAGCCCAAGAGACACACGCGCGAGGACGGCGGTAAAATCCAAAGGGGGAGGGAGGGCGGTGGGTGGGACGGCCGGCGGTGAGGTTACCGCGGGTCGGGACGATGGAGGAGGAGGCTACATCGGCAGTGGTTAGGGTTTTTAGGGGAGCCCTTCAAGACCAGCAGACTTAGAAAGGGAAGGGTCCGACGGCAGCAGTGGCTAGTCCAGCGGTGGTGGCGGGGTGAGGGGCACCAAGCTAGGCGGCAGCGGCGCCATCGAGTGGGTCATGGGAGACAACCGGATGGGTGGTGCCGACAGCGAGGGTGAGGAGTCTTAGGTGAACTCTCCGATGGGGAATAGAGAAGGGCGGGATGGTCCGACGGGGGTGGGCGGTAGTCAGGGAGGTCGTCGGCGATCCGGGTGGTGGTCAAGACGGGGGGGGGGGCTGGGGCTGGCGAGGAAGAAGAAGAATGCGTCGGTATCCATAGCGGCCGTGCATAGGGTAAGAGGCATGTCCATCACATGTCAAAGTAGGATGCATCACTAATAATAATGACCCATGTATACAAATGTCACGAAATTTCACCATGTGACTTTTCAGCTTCAAAAGTGACCAGCGGGAAGTATAGTTGATCCTTGAAGGGCCTATATCCTGTCACTTTTTAGCCTATTAGTTGATGGGGCTACCATAGGCTATCCTTTTTTTGGTAGTTTCTCCACTAATTGTCTAATCTTAGTCTCCCCCGATCAACATCACAATAAGTATGGCTTTATTTCGCTATTAGTCGGCAAAAGGATGGATGCAAACCTACACACGGCCGGTGCAATGAAGATGGCCTCGTGGCCATATGCTGATCCACTAACTCCGATCCTTGGTCCCATAGTTTATCACAACGTGAGATCAGTTTATCACAATGTGAGATCAGCAAAAAAGTGATGGTAATTGGTAAATGGCGACCTCGCCAAAGTGATGTCCATATATCACACCAAATTCTTATTATGCGCGCGTGCGTCGCTAGCCCAAGAGACGCACGCGCGAGGACGGCAGCAAAATCCAAAGGGGGAGGGAGGGCGGTGGGTGGGACGGCCGGCGGTGAGGTTACCGCGGGTCGGGACGATGGAGGAGGAGGCTACGTCGGCAGTGGTTAGGGTTTTTAGGGGAGCCCTCCAAGGCCAGCAGACTTAGAAAGGGAAGGGTCCGGCGGCGGTAGTGGCTAGTCCAGCTGTGGTGGTGGGGTGAGGGGCACCGAGCGAGGCGGCAGCGGCGCCACCGAGTGGGTCGTGGGAGACAATCGGATGGGCGGTGCCGGCAGCAAGGGTGAGGGGTCTTAGGTGGACTCTCCAATGGGGAATAGAGAAGGGCGGGATGGTCCGACGGGGGTGGGCGGTAGTCAGGGAGGTCGTCGGCGATCCGGGTGGTGGTCGAGGCGGGCAGGGGGGGGGCTGGATCTGGTGAGGAAGAAGAAGAATGCGTCGGTATCCATAGCGGCCCGTGCATAGGGTAAGAGGCATGTCCATCACATGTCAAAGTAGGATGCGTCACTAATAATAATGACTCATGTATACAAATGTCACGAAATTTCACCATGTGACTTTTCAGCTTCAAAAGTGACTAGCGGGAAGATCCTTGAAGGGCCTATAGCCTGTCACTTTTTAGCCTATCAGTTGACGGGACTACCATAGGCTATCCTTTTTTTTTTTGTAGTTTCTCCACTAATTGTCTAATCTTAGCCCGTCAGTACATATCTAATAATAGTAAAAAGCGATGGTAAGTTATATTGTTTGATATATGCCCAATCACTTTCTGTATAACTATGTTTGATGTTTGGTCGCCATCTTTCTTGTAGTTCCATTCCCTACATGCTAATATATATATATATATATATATAATATAATAATAATAATCAATGTCTTCCCGTTGAACGTCATGTGTTCCTAAACACAAATTGGTACCATTTTCAGCACTTCAGCACTGCAAAAAGATCACATCGGTTCAAAATAATTAATCTGTGTGCTATGATATTAAATAGTCTCATCATCGAAGCCATGTAAAATATGCGGGAATCGCCTCGCGGTTGTTTTTGGTGACACATCTCTATCAACTAACACTCGCCCATGTCTGTCCCTTTAGATTTGTTCAAGTTTGAGGAAGCTATATAGTTGAGTTGAGGTTCATCTATTTATGCTCTAGTCACCATATGGGCTTAAGAAAAAATTAGGCAACTAGCAAAAGAGCCAGGATTAGTGCTTAGGATAGTTAGAGGCCACTTTGTGCTTGCTCTAGACCTAATGTTTAGTGAGGTTTGCATGTTTCTAAGCTATTGGTGCTTGCGTGCACCAAAAGTGGTATATAGGGGGCTTATAATCTTACAAAATTACACCAACCGTATTTTGGTGTGACCGCTAATGTTGTATAGGGATGAGAGGCCCTTGGTGATTCAGCCAAAAGCTCTCCACAGTGGATACGGTGGGAATAGGACGCGAGAGGCCACACGGAAACCCACTTGCACACGGGGAAGACCTGTGAGCTATCCACAGGGTTATCTAATCTAGAACTTGGCCATTACTAGAGGCTCCAACGAGGATTAGAAGAAAACATGAGCTTTCCGATACCTTTGGGATATGTATCATTGAGTGGGAGTTTGTTTTTCTAACTTATTATGCATTTGTATTTACTTGCATTACTTGTTGTGTGCTTTACTTTTCTAGTCTAATTTACTAGGTTTGTTAATACGATTGGAATCTAGTGTGCAAGACTCTTTGACGTTAGAGATAATAATACTTAGAAAAATCTAGTGCACGTCTAGATACAATTTGTATTGGTTTTTATGTCAGTCACGGTCCCTTCGAAGGGACAATTGCATCAACAAACAGAGCAAGTAGCATTTTGTGTGCTAAATTCCTCATGGTTTCAAGTCCCTGTCCAGAATACAGGCAGCTGCGTTTTTACAAGCATGGAAGTTTCTGGTTTCTGACTAGTGACTAGTCGTCTCCCTCGATCAACATCACAATAGGTGACCTTTTGCTAAGTTGGAGGGAAAAAAAAAGATGATATCAACGTGCAGTGAAGCTGGCCATATGTTGATCGATCCAGTCCCATAGCTTTTCCAATCTTGTTTCTCCTTCTCACTATTTGCTGTTATAACAGCAAAAGCCCACCCACCTTCACCCGCCCGCTCACCCAAGGACACCGTTTCCACCCACAATATTGAGAGGTTCAGGCTGCAGCATGAGCCATGGTTGGCGTCGGGGAGATGCTGGCCGGGGCCGTCATAAAGGAAGTTGTCAGCAAGCTGCCTGCGCTGCTCCAGGCTTCTGTCCATGGTCCTCTCAAGAGGATTAAGGGCTTCAAGGAAGACCTCGATGTCATGAACATGACGCTCCAGTCCATCCAGGCGGTCATCGCGGATGCAGAGAAGCGGTCTATCAACGACGAGAGCGCGCCATTGTGGCTGAAACGCCTCAAGGAGGTGGCCTACGAAATCACTGATATGTTTGATGACTTCCAACCCGACAGGCCGCCAGGAAAGCTGCAGAGCACTCAAAAGTGGTACAAGGTATATTCTGGAAAGATGTTCTGGATTCATTTGATTTTTATGTTTTGGCTCGCCATTACATAGTCGAATACTGAAAATGTACTCAAGTAATCTAAGGATCAGTTCGGAAAGATAAATTGACATGTCTACCTACCATTAATATCTATCGCTAACCCAAATGCTTCATTTGCTTTACCTGATAAAGGCTTGTTCGGTTAGCTCCAATCCGATAGGTGTAGAAGGGGATTGGAGAGATTTTATCCCATACAAATCAAAATCTCCCTCAATCCACTCTAATCCCATCGGATAAAAAGTTAACCGAACAAGTCCTAATATATTTAAGAATTTCTAGGGATACCTTATATATTTTAAGGAGGATAGAGTGCACAGCCCAAAATGACCGCGCGCGCATAGTGATTTTTTTTACGGTTGGTGCAGAGAGATCATAGCGCTGAGATGCAAACGGTGAGTAGATTTTTGGCAGTGGGTGTTAAGGAATATAATTAATTAGGGTTTAGCACTGGAGTGGTCCGAGATAGCCCAAACTCACGTGCCATATTTATCATGAGGATGGGCCAGGCCCTATTTGGAACCATTTGTCTATTTAATCTGCTCAGAAATTTTCGGTAAGCTATGGTCTGAAAAATATGCAGTCTAGAGAATTTCGGTATTTGGTGATCCCGATTACTGCCCATAGTTCTCTATATTGAGGATGAAAATGACATCTACGTTCCTGAGGTTGATGATAGCTTATTTGTTGACTGAATATAAGCTAAAATCCTAATTAATTTGAGTTTATTGAATGTATAATGAGCTTGTGCACCATGAGCATTGTTTGTAAAGATCATTGAGACTGGTTTGACTAATTTTGAAATTTATTTCTAAAAATCTTATTCTCATATTAAAGGGATTGTGACGCCTAATAAGAGGGGGTGAATTAAGTCACCTAGAAACTAAAGCCCAAAAACCACTTAGAGAAAACTACACAAGTTCTTTATAGATGTGCACTAGTTTTTTAAGTGTTGCTATCTCTAATGAAGAAGATTTTTAATCCTATCAACTAACCTAGCAAGCTAGACTAGGAAGATAAGCACACACCAACGAATACAAAAAGTAAATGCAAAATCATAAATGAGTTAGAGAACTCAAACACCCACGTGACATTATTATTTTTGAGGTATCAGAAAGCTCACACTTAACATAAATCCTTGTTGAAGCCTCTTGCAAGGGCCAAGCTCCATGGTTAGGTAACTCGGCGGATAGCTCAGTCTTCCCCACGCTCAAGTGAGTCTCCACGAAGCCTCTGTCGGACTGCTCCTCGCCATCTTCACTATGGAGAGAGCTTTTGGCCAAACGGCCAAGAGCCACTCGTCCCCATACACCACCGACAGCTACAACACAAACACGGTTGGTGTGATTTCGCAAGATTACAAACCCCATGGTTTACCACTCTTGGTGCGCACAAGCGCTGATAGCAAGGAGGTATGCAAACCTCACTGAACACTTGGCCTAAACCTAGAGCAAACACTAAACTGACCTTCAACTAGCCTAAGTACTAATCCTAGCTCTTTAGCTAATCACCTAATCTTCTCTTATGGTTAGAGCACAATTGTGTGAGCTTCAACACAAATATAGCTTCAACAAGCTCTAACACACTCCAAATGGCCAGGTATTTGGATTGCAAAAGAAGTGAGCACTTGATAGATTCAGTGACCACACTGGACAAATCTGATGTCGTGCAAAAGAAGTGAGCACTTGATAGATTCAGTGACCACACTGGACAAATCTGATGTTGTGCCACGTGGACTAGTCATTGCCGATCGTAGGAAATTTCATTTCTCCAGTGGATTCTCTTGTGCCCCACTAGACAAATCCAGTGTGTTGTCCAAAGAATTAGGACCTCTCAGGAATGCACCTATACTCTCTGGGCTCTAGTGCATACATCTTTGTACTCTATCTCTGGTGCTAAACTCTGGTCACACTAGAAGTACATTATGCACAGCTTCCAACACTGCCACATGGCCCCACTGAAATTCTGTGGTGCAACTGTTTGAGCATTTCCGTGCTCACAGGAAACTCCAGTGCACTTCTTCATTCTACTCTAAGAGCATTTCTTCATGTCCAATTGTATTTTCTTCATTTCTATGGTGTCTTGAGTTTCTTACTTTTCTCTTAGGGCAATGTCGCTCTTTGATCTTCGTTTGAGGTGTTGATTCCTCGATCTTCACCTTATCCCAACTTAAGTCTATTTCTTGCATCCTTAGACTAAGTACAATGTATACTGTTGTTATGGTCGGCAACAGCTATAGACGTCGTCAAAGGGGCTAATTAGGCAGGAGAGATTTGGGGGATCAATCTGGAAAGCCTGACTTAGGCGGGCGAGAGTCTAGGAGAGAATTATGCTTGTAGTCCCTTTACAATCAATGGTGATGAAGTAAACAAGCAATTACAGACAATCAAATTCTCAACTCCTTTCTCTATTACCTAACCATCAACACAGCCACCCGAAAACCAACAGCCGAATGGTCGATGACCTCCCACAGCCATCCTATCTGGTCACTTCCCCAAGGACATGACAATTTGGTATCAGCTTCCAGTGATCCTGCCATGAGTTTCGGCAACGTCGATCAACTCAAGCAGCTCCTAGTAGCCCAGGAGGAGACTCTACGCAAGGAAGCCCAGGAAGAGTTCAAGATGATCACTTTCGGCATCAGCGAGCTCACCTCCATCGTCAAGATATTCCATACGGGATTGACTGATGTCATAGACAAGGTCTCTGACATCTTGGGGCGCCTTGCCAAGTTGGGGGGGGGGGGCAGTCCAGCGCCACCAGCGCGGCAACGTCACCTTCGGTGGCGCTTCCCGTCGGCCCTTCTACGCCACCATTGCCAACATCCTCATCACCTCTCCTAGGGGCAAAGGGATCCTCGGCAGTAAAGGCATCGTCACCAATGGCAACCTGCTGCTGCCCAAGGGACCTTCGCCCAAGACGTGCTTCAACTTGGTGAACAAACCCGACATTGCACTGGAAGATGGAGGGACTCGTCCCTCGCTACATCAAGATGGATTTTCCACACTACGACAGCATGGTGATCCCCTGCCATGGCTTGATCATTGTGAGCAATTCTTCACTACTCAGCAGATCAAGGAGCACCACAAGGTATGGCTCACTCGATTTCATCAGAATGGGGACGCCTACCATCGTGGTTTGTCTTTCATGATCTATGCAGCATCGCCCTCGGCGAACTTTGGCACCTGCGGCAAACGGGCTTCGTCAACGAGTACTAGGGTCGCTTCCTAGTGCTCCTCAGCTGCATCGATCAATTGATGGACAAGCAGGACTAGCAAATGTTCACCTTGGGCCTCCTCACTAGGTCTAATGCATATGCAATAAATTCATCCACCTAGTGGCACTTAGAAACCAAAATTGAATATTGGAGTTCCCCCATAATAGTATGGCTATCTATTGGACTTATAGTTTGCCCATGGCTTAACATTGAGAGCAAGGGTTTCGCGTCGAACCTTGGCTCAGGAGGCGTCGGACCGTGTGCTGGCTGGGTCCGACGGCTAACCAAAGTGTAGGGGTGCGATGCAGCGGCGTCGTACTACGCCAACTGGTGGCGTCGAACCAAACGCAAGCAGTGTTCCTTCACGCTAGTGAGAGCGAGGCTTGCGCAGGCGCGACACGTGGTAGCGTCAGACTGCTAGCTGGATCCGATGGTTGGCGTCAGACCTTGGTTCGATGGTTTTAACCATCTCTAGACCTTACTGGACCGCGTCGGACTCACCCTGTGCTGGGTCCGACTATGCGTCCGACGGCTGGGTCCGATGATGCAAATCAGCGCATGGCAGTGAGCCATTGGGCACGCGCGATTTGAACGGGACACATGGCACTACGACAGTGGCCACCCAGACTGTTGGACCCTGCATCGGACGGTCCGACGGCCCCACGCTGCTGAGTCCGACGGTCACTTATGTAACCTAAGGGCTCTATTTCGAGGGGACACCTATTTAAGGTGTTTGGCCGGTTTGAGTTCACTCTCTTGGCCATTTCTATTGAGAATACATCCTAGTGAGCCTAGCCATTCCTCTCTCACTCATCTAGCTTGATTGATTCATCATTTGGTGAGATTGGAGAGCATCCAAGTGCATTGCTTTGAGTGATTGCATCTAGAGACACTTGGTGATTGTGTTTCACTGTGGATTTCGCTTGTTACTCTTGATGGTTGCCGCTACCTAGACGGCTTGGTGCAGTGAGGATCGTCTAGCGGAGGAAGGTGCTTGTCTTCGGCTCCGATCATAGTGATTGCGAGTGGTTCTTGACCTTTCCCTAGTGGAGAGCCAAAAGATATTCTAGTGGATTGCTCGTGGCTTGTGGATTCCCATCTTGTGTTGGTTGTGCGGCACCCGATTGTGGGTTAGGCGTGTGATGCATATTAGCGCGTGAACCTCTAGGTGGGTGAATCGCCACAATGAGGACTAGCTTGCCGGCAAGCAAGTGAACCTCGGTGAAAAATCATTATGTCATCTTGTCCCCGAGGAATTCATTTGGTGTTCATTGTGATTGATTGATCATCTCTTGCCACGGCGGTATAACCCTCACTATCCCTCTTGTATTTACATTCTAGTGTAGCTAAGCTCTTTAGTGAAACTAGTTTTGAGAGCTAGCTTGTGTTTTGTTAGTTTGGTTAGTGATGCTCTTTAGTTAGTTTTTGAGAGCTCACTAACTTAGAGAGTAGTGACTTAGCCCTTGTGTGAAATAGAGATCATAGCAACTAGAATTGTGGATATGTGGCTTGTATTTTTAGTAGGCTAGCGCAACACTCGCTTTGCTTCTTAATTGTCTAATCTCTTGGCTTAAGTGTTGTTGTAGAAATTTTTATAGGCTATTCACCCCTTCTAGCCATTAGGAACTTTCAATATGTCATGGCCTTGCGTCTAGATACCTTTGGGGTTAGTTGTATGTATATTTATACCTTGCATTAGGATGTTCCTTACTCATATTTATTAGGTGTGCATACAATAATTTGAATTACTTATAGGAGACCTGCAGTTGACTTTGAGATCTAAATACCACTTGAAAAAGATACCAACATGAAGTGACTACCACATTGTAGGTGATATTTGGAGGATGCTATCTATGATTTAGACTTTGGCACACAAAAGAATAAATAAGTACTTGTGTTGTGTTCCTATGCTAATAAATCATGTAGCTTGTTCATGGGTTAGAGTGAAGCATAAGCAACTGACCATAAGAACATGTTAATTGTTTAGTTTTAACTATTTTCTATGATAATAGTACTATTGTAGTATATTTAATAGCCAGGATATTGTAATCACCACTGCCATATGTATCTAGGGAGGAATCTAGCCGTCCAAGTCTATGTACTCTATCTATAACACCCGAGAGGTTTAGTGCAAATATCCCACGCATTGTACCCAATATACTACGATGTCATGAGTTTAGGTTTCAATCATGAACCATAAGGTTGCCGCTGCCGCCACGAGACGGCAGATAGTATGGGGGTGGTAGCATGAGGTGTTTGCCACTCCATGTTGTTGGGTTGATCTACCAAGAGCATCATCATGTCACACGCCTATCTTGCCCCCTGCTACACCGTGTTGTGGCTACCGCATTGCCAATGGCCATGTCCCATACAGTGCCTTTGCTTGGCCATGACAAATGGTTCCCTCCATGGTTCACCGTACTAGGGAGATGCTTCTGCTATTTTTCCAGATCGGAGGTTGGGGTTGCGTTTCCATGTCTATGGATCTCTCAACGTCCGATGGACGAAGTTGTCGTTGTGCGTACTCCTTGTAGCAAGGACACTACTCGTGGTTAAGTTATTTTCATGGTTGCCGCCTATTTAGGATGGTGCCACCTATACTGCTTATCCTCCTTGTCATGTAGCTCTCGACACTAGACTCTGCCTACTACCACCACCTCTGGAACATCACCATCAATGTCTCTAAAGGATGACATGTGACCGCTTATTATTGATATGTCTGAATAGCCCTTCTACCTCCACTGTTCGTTCAGCTCATCATCATGCCACCAATCATCTGTAGAAAGCTAGTGATTATTTGTACTTGTTTGCCTCTATTAAAGCTTTGACTATGTCCACCACAACCTCTGCTGTTTCAGTAAAAAAGACCCGTCATCCGCTTGAGCTACTTGTCAATTTCTATTCGAGTCATAGCATCGCTGCAATGCGATGTTGCTGTGACTATGGGGAGTTAGCCTTTGACTTTTTCTCTAGTCTGACCATCTACAATGCTCCCAATATGACTGTAAGGGATGTTTTAATACCAACTTCACCTATAGTCCGACTATTTGTGATAATACTCCTATTATGATTGTGGGTCATGTTAGAGTATATCTAGCAGTTAGGATACAGTATATGTCTGTAGGGAGACACGGTGTTGTGCCCCAAGTCTCCATACTCTCTCTATATATATTATACAAATATCTCACACATTATACAGAATCTATTTTGGCTTTCAAATACAAAACTATCTTAATGAAAAATTGTAGGGTGCTGGTTCTTGTGGGGTCACCATCATCCCCAATTCCCCACCCTCTTCCACAACACACACATGGACCCTAAAATGGTATAGCATATAGTACACTGAAAAACATGTTTCATCATGCATTTTTAAGTATATAATTTATATTTAATGTTTTATATCTCAAATCTCCACGGGCAAAGTCATCTTTGTTTTTGACCAACTTTGGTGTTAAATCTAGATATTCACTGAGGCATGCATATTTGACAAAAATATATTGTACTGTGTCTATACATTTTTGACCCTTGGTTGTGTCTAATGCTTTCACTCCAAAATAGACATCTGGAATTGATGAATTAATTGTTTCAACAGATAATGTTTAGTCCTGACATGGCCAACCGCATGAAGAGGATGAATAAAAAGTTAAATGAAATAAGGAAGCAAAATAAATTTGGGACTGGGTTGATACCTGAACCCAAAACAGAGTACACTGATGGTGAAACAATATCAGGGCCATCAGATGTGATTGTTGGTCGTAGAGTTGAGAAAGAATCTGTCATTAATATACTGCTTAGCTCCAATACATATGCTCAAGAAATTAATAACTGTACCATTATTCATGGGCTTGCTGGTGTTGGCAAGACAGAACTAGCAAAATTGGTGTTCAATGATGAAAGAATCAAGGAGGCATTTCCGCAAAGGGTCTGGGTTTACTTGCGCCAAAATTGTGACGAAAAAGATATTTGCAGAGGTATAATCTCAGTAATTGAACAAAGACGTTGCAAGCTTGAGATTCTTGAATCCATATACCAGCATCTCAAAAAGGTGCTCACGAGTAGATGTCTCATTGTATTGGATAATCTTTGGAATTCATCCTTGGAGAGATTGCAGGGTATACTAGGCAGGAATGTCTCGATCTTAGTTACTTCACGCAAAGCTATTCAGTTGAATACGAGAAAAGCAATAATGTTCCCCTTGGAACCTTTGTCAGACAAACTCAGCTTTGATTTAGTTAAGAAAGTTGCATCCTCATATTTCCGTGAAGGTGACATTCCAGAAATTGCACTGGATGAAATTGTAGCAAAGTGCAGAGGTGTACCTTTCGCTCTGAGGACTATTGCATCCCAATTGAAACCAGGAACCGATGAAGAACTATTGAGTTTAATAAAAGATATCTTTCCACCCACATCAGATTATGGACAAGATGCTATTGAGAAAACTGTTCTTGGATCCCTCAGGCTGACATACCACTTAATGACTCCACGACTAAGGCTATGCTTTGCCTACTGTGCAATTTTTGCTAAAGGCTGTGAGATTGATCGTGAAGAATTATGCCACCAATGGATTGCTCTTGGGCTAATTGAAAACCCAACTAAAAGGCTTGCAGAGGAAACGATTCACGAATTATTGGACATGTCATTTCTTCAAGATTCAGGGCCATCTTCGGTGAGTTATTGTCTTTCACTTACTCAAATTTGTAGCTCTATGTAATAGTTTCGTGCTTGCTTCCATAGAGTTGACATAACCATAAGTTAATGGTACCTAGTACTTTACTTCAATTTTTTCATGTTCTTCTATATAAAGAGAGACCCACCCATACACGAACTACCCCTCACTATCACTTCATTATCATCAATATACTATTCAGACTATGAATTAAAAAGAGATACATTGCTTACTCCATTTGGTAGGCTCTCCTTTGTATTTATTATGATTGAACAGTTAAAATTAGCGTCTTTCGTCAGTGCAGAAAATGGTGTTTTCTTGTCTTCATTGTGAATTGCTTTGTGGGTTGATTTCTGGATCAGAGCTCTTTAATATTCTGATTTGAGTTTTTATGTTATTCTGAATACAAACCATGCATCTCTAGTTTAATTATTTGCAACAAATAATTTATGAAATTGGTTTGAGTTTTTGACCAACCCAATTGTATGAAAATATTGTCCACTGCCAATATACAATTTTAGATGATGGAATCGAAATAACCCAAGCTCTACCTTCTATATGATGCTTTACCCATAATAACTTGCCACTAGAGATCTAAAGTCATTAGCATAATCTATTGCTAAACATACATCCAAGGCTAGCAAAGACCTCCATTGTAGCATCTCCAAAGCGTGGCATAAGTTCCCAATCATCCATGTTTTGTTAAACCCCCCGAAATCAGTACATTTGAATACTTGCATATATTTTTGTAGGAAACAGCTAGGATGGGTTTTACCTACCCCCTATTGATTATAATTATATATTTGAAGTACTTGTGAATACTTGCATATGTTCCGACAATCATAATTTTTCCATTTTTGATTGAAGAGGATTTAATGGATTTTACCTACACTAGCACTACTAGCTAAGCTACACAAGCTAAGCAAGAGAGCAACTAGTTGCTACACAAGCCAACTAGCTACAAGAGCAACAACACTAGCACAAGTATTAACAAGTATCATGAGCTAGTGTTAGGAAATGGCAAACCAACAAGAAAGACTATGTTGACACGATGATTTTTATCCCAAGGTTTGGTGGTTTGCCAATCACTTAATTCCCATTGAGGTAAGCCCAAAGTTGATGCTGATCCTCTTGCTAGTAGCAAGCCGCAAGCTCGCACTCACCACCAGAGGTGTGCTCCAACGTGAGCTCTAGCACTTGATCTGACGAACCACTCGGCGCTCTTCGCACCTCACTTCTACTAGAGTGCTCTTCACGATCTCCCATGGGGCGAGCACAACTGTCCTCACAATACGATATCCTCTAGAGCACCACACAATCTCCGTGCGTGCTACACGAAGTCCACAAGCCTTCAACCCATCTAGGAGGTGGCAACCTCCAAGAGTAATAAGCACAACCATCTTGTGACACGAACACCTAGTGCCACTCAAAGAAACCTTGCAATGCAATGCATTAGGAAATGTTCTCTCACTTTCGGATGCAATCTCCACTAAGCACAAGTGAGTTGGAGGGCTAGAACACTCCACAAAGGCTGGACAAAGAGTCCCCAAGGTGTTCAACCACTAAAATGGTCTGCCACCCCTCTATATGTAAAGGGGGACGCCCAACTCGCTGTTACACCCTCAACAACCACTTCTTTGTACCTGGCAGTCCAACTAGCCCTCCTGCGATTGGATCGGTTGAGCCTAACAGCTAGTTGCCATAAAAGCGCAAATGACCACATGCAACTGGGCCTAAGACCCGCGCTCCAACCGGCCCACACCACGGTCACACGCGAGCCAAAAACACTCCACTTGGAAAGTTTGGCCCAATCCAATGGGCCACCAACAAAACATGTGCTTCTCCTCCTATTGAACCGTAGCCTTTCCCACGCTCTTCAGTCCAATGCCAGTCCAACCATTAGCTTCTACGGTTTGACCGCCAGGAGCCACCAAGTGGGCCATGGCTCTGAATAGTATTGTGCACTTCATTCGTGTGTAGCGTCCAAGCCTAACACCGGAGCAAGCACTCCTCACTCTGGCCCGCTGTCCAACGGCATATGTGGCCGGACAGACCATGAAGTTGACAGAACAACCCACAAAGCCCCTGTGCACAACCACTTTCTTCAATCCTATTATCCAGTGCCTTCGACCAAGTCACGAATACAGCGAACATCTCTAAGCACCAAGCTTACATTCGCTATATTATGTTCTTAGTCTTCACGAATATCCTTTGTACCAGACTCCAAACATCAAACCATGTCTTCGGGGGAAGACACTTGTTCCCATTCAATTTTTGGCTTACTTAAATGTGAATACTGCTACGAAACATACATTGGTTACAAACTTGAGTTCATCAATCACTAGAACCCCAAATCACTAAATTGGGGACTAGATGCATTAAAAAGTGTAGTCAAAGCATTTACCTGCGCATGACTGTGCCCCGAACTCTAACTCGTACCCACACCTGTGAAGCCTTGTGGGTAAGATTTCATATACTAGTGCTGAAGACATACTCGAATGCTAATAGTGTTATAGGAATTGCCACAATTTCTCGAGCAACATTTCTCAAACAAGGATACTTCATCCCTGCAACATTCCACCAATTGATGATGTCCAGTTTTGTTGTTCTTGCCAACATTTCCTCTTCCAATTAGACATCTAACTCTATGGTCACATAATTAGGTGGGGAAGCAGGTTCAAAAGACAAGTATTTGTCAAATATATGAAAGATAGTTGCATCGCCTTCACTTTGAATAGTATTGCTTGCACGAGCCCCGACACCATCTGTTGCACCAAAGTCCACCCTAGAACCTTGACCAAATCTATCTAGGACCATAGATTTCACTAATCATGGCATAGAAGTAGTGATGTCAATGGGAAGTAATGCATTCAGCTATACCCATACCTAGGGATGAAGACGAGATGTGTATGTTCCGATCCATTGTTGAAGACCTATATAGATAGTCTACATATGAATCCAAATATTTAATATCCATACTGTATCTAAATCCGAATACTCAAAATCAGATTTCTGATATGTTACGAGATAGATATCAATATTCGACATCATCCTTATTTGGTTCTAAGATCAGGAAAAAAATATGAAATACAATGCAGTATATATATGAGATAGAATGCTGGATCACTAATATCCGTCTGTATCTCCCTAAAAAAAACGTCTGTATGGTCACCCAACCCATTCCCCTAAATTATCTCTACCCATACCCCTAAATTATCCCTAATCATCGAACCCAATGGGTATGATGGATAAGATAAACTCAGCCTTTTGCCAAAGCCTCCTCTCTCCCATGTTCCGCAATGCTCTTTCCCTCTTCTCCCACCGCCGCATCAATGTTGGCCATGGGTCCGTGTCGGCCGCCAAGGAGTCGCAGGAGCGCTCGGTTTACCTCCGCTCCGCGAACTCGCACCGCCAAGGATGACGTGCGGGGATGGGGACCGGAAACACGCCTCCACGCGCCGCCGCCGCCGCTTCGAGCTCCGCCGGCTAACTACCTCGGGAAGGGCGGGGATGCCTGGGTGATGCCCCTGCCACGGCAAAGCACACACATCAACAGCTCTTGCATATTTAAATTGAGGGAAGGTAAGCAAGCTGGAGTCACCACGCACGCAACTTTCTCTCAGCTACAATCCTTGAGAGTCATGGTCGACACCTTCTCAATGCCCCAATCTTGGAGTATGTCATGAAGGACTTCATTTATGACTTTCAGAAGTATGGGGTTGTGGTACATACGAGAACCTACAAAGTAGAATAACAACAATTGCAAGATTAGTTAATGTACATGTAGTGCAACACACAAAACAAACAGGGAACAAAAAAGGAAATTTTTCATTAATCTCTTTCCTCAAAAGAAAGCCTTTTAGCTTGCAATCCTCAACAATATAGTGTGCATTTACTCCCATCTAGCCTTATCTTCATTGCTTCTCGTGAATCACATATACATTTTAGCATACATGACATATCGGTTCATAGGCCTTTTTTTACATATACAGCCCAACATTATGTGCTCTTTAGGGATCCGTCAGGCAGTTTATGATTGCATATTGATTGAGTATAAATTCATACTACTTACTTCATCTGTTCTATTGTATTACATGATACATTATAGTAGGCTTTGTGCATCTCAATATGTCGAGCTCGGGAGTGAACTAAAGATATTTGTATCAACTCGATGTAATTATCTTGTTTCAAATAAAAACATGCTTCATAAAAAAAAATACAAGCCAGTGATTCCATTAAGCTCTTGAGTTACTTTTTCAGGTGACGATAAGGAGTTCTGGAGCTCCAGCCAAACTTAAGATGCATGACTTGGTACACGACCTTGCTAAGTTAGTTTGTGATGATTAATTAGTAATTTTCAATGAGGAGAATATGTTATCTACACGCGATTCACCTCGCTATGCCATGGTTTTTGCTTGTGTGAAGGAGAACTTGCATAAGAATAATCAGCTTGCTGGGTTAAGGGCTCTGCATATTAAAGATTGTCCTACACTGAAGTTCAAATGGTACAATTCCTCATTCGCCAAACGCCTGCGAGTCCTGGATATTAGTGGGCATCATATTGAGAAGCTTCCTTCCTCTATTGGAAATCTGATGCAGCTGAGGTACCTTAACGCTTCAGGAATACAATTCAAAGAGCTCCCCAAAGCCATCGGCACTCTGTCTAAACTACAGTATCTCAATCTACATGGCAGTAGCATTTCCGGACTACCAGACTCAGTCTCCAAATTGGGTCAGTTGATGCATCTTGACATATCAGACTGTAAGAATCTGCAGGCATTGCCCAGCTCATTTTGCCAACTCAAGTGCCTGTGTTTTTTGTCACTAAAGAACTGCTGTCAACTATGTTCATTACCTGATGATCTTGCCGAACTCAAGGATTTGGAGAAGCTCAATTTGTCAGGCTGCTCCTGTCTTTGCAAGTTACCAGAATCTCTTGGTAAGCTGAAGAAGTTAAAACAATTGGATCTATCAGGCTGTCTGAAACTCACCAAGCTACCAGATTCTTTCGTTAGACTTACTGGTCTCCAATACCTCGACATCTCAAGCTGTTCTGAATTAAACATACCTGTTGATGGTCTTAACAAGCTTGTGGGTTTGAACTACGTAGATATGTCATCTTGTCCGAAACTTGTAGGTCTGCCTGAAGAATTTTGTGACCTTAAACATCTCCATACACTGAATCTTTCTGACTGTAGTCAATTGGGAAATTTACCAGAGAGGCTGGGCCAAATGAAAAGCATCAGGTTCATTTTGCTGGATGGTTGTGTAGAATCGGTGAGGAAACCCATTCTGCAAAATAGGCTGGGTGCTGGCCTGCAGTCGTTACCTGCATTTGTCATTGAAGCGCAGGTTGGCAGCATCCGAAGCAACATTACCCAGCTGGAGCAGGAGAAGTTCTCTGAGCTGGAACTGTACCGCCTCGAGAATGTGCGAGCAGTTGAGGAGGCCGGAGCACTAAAGATGCCGGCCAGATCTGGATTACGTAGTTTGGGACTGATGTGGACATTGAATGTTGACCGATTTGTTGAGGATGAGGCACTGCTTCAGGTGCTTGAGCCACCTGAAGATCTTCAAAAGTTTAGGGTACAGGGTTACATGGGCAAAAGGTTCCCTAAATGGAACGTAGAAATCGGTTCCTTCCGCCGGGGTCAGCTCGACGAACTCGGGTTGATGCATTTTCCAATGTGCAACAATTTGCCACAGCTTGGGCAGCTTGCAAATCTCAAGAAGCTGCACCTATGCCGGATGCCCAAAATCAGGAGACTAGGCAGAGAATTAGGTGATGACACTGGAGTACTCAAGAACTTGCAAAGTTTCACTTTGGAATACATGGAGAACCTGGAAGAATGGTGCACTACCATGTTAATGGCATCAGCTAGTAGCCAGCACCAGCACAAACAGGAAGGGTTGTTCATGTTCCCCTCGCTTCAGGAGCTTAACATATACCACTGCCCTCAGTTAACAATGATTCCATGTCCTCCAAGAAGCATAGACTGGGAAGTAAGAGCAAGTAGTAGAGCATCGCAACAGCTTCTTGAGAAGGATGAGGCTATGCAGTCATTGGCAGAGTACATGGGCTTGCGGTGTCCCTTTGGCTACACTACCGAATTGCATGTCAATGGCTCCAGCAGCAGTTCTCCACATCTTCGTAGTGATGGATGGAAGTTTAATGCTTCCCTCATCACTCTCAGGGATCTGGGGACAAGTGATTGCTGCGGTTTGATTGACACATTGCTAGCCAAAGGCAATAACATGCAGTGTTTAATTAATCTAGAGGTTTCAGGCATTGAAGATACAAGAAGCTTGCTGGAACAAGTTGAGACAGTTGCGCATTACACACGGTCTAGCCTCGCCAAATCATGGCCAGATTGGTTCCTACAGCAACCTATTGTAAACAGTGGAGCATCACCCCATTTTCTTGTAACAGGTTTTGCAAGCTGTGCACTTGATGGCTGGATTGACAAAGTGACCTCCTTTCTTGGCAACCTCATACGGATCAACATGGAGGACCTGCCTATGTGCTACCGCCTGCCACCACTAGGACAGCTGCCAGTGCTGCAGGAGCTTCGGTTGAAAGGGATGCCTAAGATCACAAGGATAGATGACAGGGACTTGTGCGGCGGGAGTGACCGTTCATCATCATCTGTGTTGTTCTTCCCAAGGTTGACAAAGTTTGTTCTGAATGATATGCCGAACCTTGAGGAGTGGGTCATTACGGTGTCAGGTAGTACAAGTACTGGTCACTGTGGCAGGGACAGGGAGGAGTTCATGTTCCCTAAGCTGGTAAAGCTGACGATTTGGAACTGCCCCCAGTTGAAGCTGAAGCCTGGCCTCCCAAGAGCGGAGGAGTGGGACATAAATAATAGCGATCCGGTAATAGCGTCATCCTATGACAAAAACAGAAACAGTGGAGGTGGCGAGCTTGCTACAATGCTACAAGTGTTGTCATGCAAAGTTCCTCCCAGTAACTGGAAATTGCTTCACCATCTCCCCAGGATACAGAACTTGGCGATCATTAGCTGCCATGGGATGGAAGCTTTACCAGAGAGCATTCAGAGCCTTTCCTCCCTCCAGTCCTTGACGGTAAGTAAATGTCATGGCCTGAAACACCTGCCTGAATGGTTGGGGGACCTGACATGCCTTCACAGCTTGATGGTTGTGAGCTGTCCCCTGGAGTTCTTACCGGGGGGAATGAGGCGCCTCTCTTTCCTTCGGTCCCTCACTTTGAGCTGTTGTGATAGACTGGCAGCATTGCCAGGGTGGATGGGTGATCTCAAGTCACTCGTGAAGATCACAATTGAAGGATGCAAGAGCCTTAAATCCTTGCCTCAGCTTTGTAGTCTGCAAGATCTATTCATTGACTGTAATGATGAACTACATGGGTGGAGTGAATCAGGGGTCAACAAAGCTATGTTTGCGGGAATCAAACGACAGGTATGTTCCATGCATTGCATTGTATCTCCACGAATTTAATGTGCCCGACGACAAACAAGTTTATGATGACTTTTCGCTCACATTATTCTTGTTTTCTAACCAAGGCATGCTTAGGTATTATTCATTGGCTATATTCCTCTACTTTGCGTTGAAACAAACAACACATGCTTTTTTTAGGGTTTCTGGCTGGAGAATCATGGTCAGAGCAACAGCTACATCTTACCAGCAAGATCGTTACACATCGTTTGGGGACGCGATGACAGATATTGGAGGATGCATTCTCATCCTCACTCAAGGTTTGATTTTGAGAAATTAATGGCCTGAATAATTTGTAAATTAGGTTATTGCTTGGGAACTCTCTTCAAAATGTTAAGCATAAAGTTTTAAAGAAAGAAAACTTAGCCTGCAAAATGAACAAATACTAGGAAATCAGGATCAGATTTGGCAAGAAGAATTGTTGCGCTGTGTAAAAAATGTGGTACCTCTAAAAGTTCATTGCCAGACATCACGGGTATAATGCAATATCAAATCACTAGTGGTGCCACACTTTTCATTTTTACCACCATGCCAAATCTATTTTCTATTTCCAGGGAAGTAACTAGAAAACATGGCATAGTTCAGAGTGTTGGCACTCCCTCCATCTCAAATTATAAGTCATTTTAACTTTTTTTGAGAGTCAAAGCATCTCAAGTTTGACCAAAATTTATATAATAAAATAATTGCATTTATGATATCAACTAAGTATCATTAGATTTTTCATTAATTATGTTTTCATATTAATACCTATTTGATGTTATAAGTCTTTGTAATTCTCTTTATAATTTTGGTCAAACTTGAAATGCTTTGACTCTACAAGAAAGTTGGAATGACTTAAAATTTGAAATTTGAAATGGGGGGAGTAGTAGTTACTTGTATAATGCAACAATAAATCGCTAGTTGCTATATAATGTTTATTACCACTGATAAATGAGCTAACACAAATATAAACCGCAATGAAAATAATGAATCTATCGCAGCAGCTTTAGACAGTTGAAATAGCAGCAGCTCATCATTGAAAATATCTATTCTTTTGTTGCAATAGTAATAACCTGCTTTCGCAATTAAACCAAAGTAATATAGATGGACTCGACACTCATGGAAATAAATTAAATTATTGACATGTCAACAGTCCCCACTCCCCACAATACTATTAATTGATGCAATATCACATATCTATTACAGGAATCTGTCTTCTTAGATTTAATGTTTTTCATAGCAATAGCAACAGTATAAATTCCTTAAAGTGTTTTCTGTACTCTTTCCTGTTATTAGATATAGACGCATGACTTTGCTTGTTTGGTTTGCACATTACAGGTTTGAATCATCGATGGAACTCTTAGAAGTCTGGTGGCTTGAGATTGAGGGCAGTCTCCCTCAAGGGGCCCTCCCCACAAATACTAGCTACGATGTATACCTTGTTTACAAGCTGGCAGATGAGCACGATGGCCTCAGATGGGGCGAGTCATGCGTCCTAGTCGATGGTGTACCGACGTTTGGTGCCATTGTTTCCTTTGTGGACCAAGACGCTGTGCGCGTGGATCGCGTGGCTTACCCGGTTACGCGCTCTGAAGGATGGATGGAGCTCAGGCTCGGTGAGTTCAGCCTGCGTGATGATACTAGCGCGGTAAAAGTGCACTTGTCTGAGAAAACGAACACCTATGCCAAGAAAGGGCTCATCATTGAAGGCATGGAGATTAGAGCAAAAAGCATGCCTATTACCTAGGCACCAATTATTAGTCATATAAACCTGATCTTTTATTTAATAGAAACACTCAAAAGAGTGTCTCATATGTGATATCTTTATCAAGGAAACTTTTAATTGCTACTATAAAAGATGGTGAGAATTTGACACAAAACGACCTCTGAAAAATACATGTAACATGTTTGCTATCAATTTTCATTTTTTTGGGGGGAGTTTAATATGCCGGAGTTCCATTAACTATGAGGGTTTCAGTTAGGTCCATAAACTTAAATTTTTTATTTTTGGGTTCATAAATTTTTAAGTTGTCACCACGTCTCTGAATCGCATCGTCAGGAGCTTGGGTAGGCTGTGTGTTTTAGGGGGAACATGGCCAAGTGGATTGATCCAGAGGAGAAACATATGGCCCGTTTGGTATGGATTCCCCTAGATACGGCTCCTACTGTCACAACTGCTGTAGATTCACTGTTGACGAATCCGTTTTTCTCTCTCATCTCCTCCTCTCTCACTGACACAGTAGGAGCTGTTGGAGCCAAAAAAAAATTTAGCTTCGCTAGCTCTTATTAACTCTGTGAGAGGGAGAGGAAAATTAACTTCAGTGAACAGTATAGCTACAGTGATAGTTGCAGTGGGAGCCAGACCTGCCTTTTGGGTGAAAATCTCTATCAAAGAGGGGAGGAAAGAGTGTGTTTGAAATCTAGAGGCTAATTGCAGTGTCCTACAGGAGAATTGCTGAATCTGAATCTCTAAGAGGGGCCCGTCACGTCGAGGCTAAAGTTTATGAGTGATATCACGTAATAATAATAAAATAAATTATATAAGTCTTTAATAATCGGCAAAATGAATTTATTAAGCCTAATTAATCTGTCATTAGTATATATTTACTATAGCACATATTGTCAAATCATGGACTAGTTAGGCTTAAAAAATTCGTCTCGCAAATTAGTTTTAATCTGTGCAATTAATTTCATAATTAGTCTATATTTAATACTATATGCATGTGTCCAAACATCTTATGTGACAGAGGCTAAAGTTTAGAAAGGGGAAATAAACACAGCTGAGCAAAGACAATTAGCACATGATTTATATTAGCCAAGAAACAAAGACAATTATTGCAATGAAAGCTGAGACCACCACCACACTTTAGAATATGGCTCCGTTCGCTTCGCTGAAAAAACAAGCTGAAATTATGTTCCGACTGATTTATTGTGAGAGAAAAACACTATTCTCGTTAAAAAAAGCTAAAAATACGGATTATAAAATAAACGAACGGGCATAAGTTACCTAGTACATGTGACACTACTACTACTGCTAGAGAATCACTTCAATAGTTTCTCGAAGGACAGACTCCTGCTGGCTGCGACGCCATACCAGCTAAGCTACTACTAAAACAGGCTAATGAAATACGAACTCCCTCCCAGCAATCCTCCATTTATTCCGTTCATGACGAGCTCGATTGAAGTCCAATGTTCCTAAAGATCCTTGACGTCGTCATACTGCAAAGAGAGTTGGATTAGTAAGCATCAAGGATTTATGCTTTATTTAGTTAGCGAAATTTTTTAGAAATGGTACTATAGTATTTTCGTTGTTATTTTGCAATTAGTGTCTAATCATAATCTAATTAGGCTTAAAAGATTCGGCTCGTGATTTTCGTCTAAACTGTATAATTAGTTTTATTTTTTATTTATATTTAATACTTTATGCATGAGTCAAAGATTCGATGTGACGGAAAATCTTAAAAAAATTCCTAAACTTTGGGAACTAAACAGACACTTAATTACACAACACAGAAGAAGATGAATGCAGTGCCAGTTTAATATATATATAATCTACCAACCTCGGCGTGAGAGTGGGACTCGTGGTTCTGCTGCAGATCATCGTTCGCTCGGATGAGCTCGCTTGAGAGTGGACGGTGTCTACGACGATTCTACCAAACCTGCACTCGATCGATCGAGACGCAAAATCCACAAGACAAAAAATCAGTATGGTGAAGTGGCGCAAGTGAGTGACGCAATTAATTAATATAACGCGAATTCAGTAACATGCATACGGATGGTCGTCGTCGTCGAACTCGATGTGGCCGTCGAAGCCGGCGCGTACGCCACCGCCGTCGTGGGAGTGGCCACCACTTGCCGCTCTCTTCCTGCCGTTGTCGAAGATGCTGTTCAGGTACGCCGACTCCTCTTCGGTGGCCGGGTGGACCGAGAAGCCGGAGCCGGCGCCTTGCGCCTGGCACTTCTCCGACCAGCGGTCCAGCCACCGCGCCTCCTCCTCGGTGGGGTACTGCACGCTGATCCTGATGTCCGGCTCCTCCGCTGCTGCTGCTGCGAGGACGGGTAGCAGCAGGAGGAGGAGGGAGATGGCGACGAGAGACAGGTGGTGAAGCCGGGCCATCTCGATCGCTGGTTTGGTAGCAGGCTGATGATCAACTCAAGTGTGGAGTGTGGACTGAGCCGTCAGAGCTAGCTGTCTATATATGCGTGGAGTAGAGGAGGGAGATGAGACGATGGTCCAGGAGCTTTGTATGCTGTGTGCCGCCGTCTCATGCTCTTTGTGCCTTTTAAATGCTATTTGTACTTGCCTTATGTTGTATTTCTGTTGTATTTCATTTTTTCCCTCAACTTTTCTGTTCAAAAGGAACAAAGAGATCGGGAGACAGGGACAGCGCTGCATGCTTATTTGCTTGATGTAGCCGTTGCGCAGGCTGCGCAGAGAGGAGCGTGATTCTCTGGTGGTTTTCACATGGTTGTACTATACTGGGATTGACTGACCACAAGTGAGGGCGCGTTTAGTTCAAAAAATTTTTAGTTTTTGTCTATCACATCGAATTTTTAGACGCATGCATGGAGTATTAAATATAGATGAAAAAAAAACTAATTACACAGTTGGGTGAGAAATCGCGAGACGAAACTTTTAAACCCAATTAATTCATAATTAAACACTAATTATCAAATACAAACGAAAGTGCTACAGTAGCCAAACCCAAAATTTTTCGCGAACTAAACGTGCCCTGAGCGGAAAGCATTGATACTGAAACCTACATCTGAAATTCCTACATGCTTGTTGCCAGTAAACAACACAGACGTACGTGTCATTTAGTCGGTGTGGGTCAGAAGCAATAATACGTTAGTTTTGCATGATTGCAGAAATGTTCTTCAGTACTTACAATTGACATAAATATTTGTGTCTGGCTTTCGATGGAAACTTATGCACCTCGGGGCTTTTTGGATGTATATGTCAAAGAAACTACTGAGAGAAACTTTTCCTTCTCCTTGTTTTTGTAGAGTAAAAGTTTAAGATGTTCCAAACTTCTGCAATTGGTAGAGAACTTTGAACCGCTTGATTCGAATTCTAGTCAAAGGATGATACAAAGGGAAGTATGAGTAGACATTGTTTAGTTTCTCTCCTAAAGTTTACTTCCTATCACATCGGATGTTTGGACACATGCATGGAGTATTAAATATAGACTAAAAAATAATTAATTGTACAGATTGCAACTAATTTGCGAGACGAATTTTTAGGCCTAATTAGTCTATGGTTTGACAATGTAGTGCTATAGTAACATATGCTAATGATGAAATAATTAGACTTAATAAATTCGTCTCACGGATTACTGAAGATTTCTATAATTTATTTTATTATTACTGTTCGAACATTCTCGTGTAACACCCTAATATGACATCTTAGACTTTACTCCCTAGAGTTAACGGAAGCAGTGGAGGCCTGAAGCGGGACAGCGACCTCAGCTCTCTGCACGACAGAATCAGAGTTCAGAGCTGTACTGTTTGATTTATCGACTCGATCAACCGCTGTACTGTTGTCGTACTCCTACAGTCCTCGAGTGCCAAAACTGCCTGTACTGTCCATCACATGCAAGACTCTGCATCACGAGATTGGGATAGCGCTGAACAGCTGACCAGCCAGCCATTTGTGTTCTGAAAGTCTGAACATACAAGACGTCGACACGACGATCTCTCTTGTAAGGAATTTTTGCAGCATTAGATGTTTCCCAATACACATACTAATGTAGTAATTTAAGCTCGGTGCTTGTGATTTTAGGATATTACTCATTCTTCAGTTGATTGAATTCTTCCAGGCTTTCATTCTTTGCCCTTTCTTTTGCTTTCCATTGGCCGTGTTTGCTCTCGTGCTTCAATAAAACTTAGCATCATTATGTTTTTACTAGGTGGGCAGGCGCGCTTCGCTGCGCCCGTAGTGACTCCCAAGTCTGGGCTTCAGAAACAGTAATGCATTCAGTGGAACGAAGTACGTACTCCGTAGATGGCAAGCGTTCACACATTTATTAATTTGCATAGGTATAATGAAATGAAGCGGCGCTCACTCAGCTGTACATTAGTTACATAAGGCATTGCCACACAAATGTATTCTTGTAAAGGAATAGAGCATAGTTGTAAAGATTATGGTAAGAGAGAGGTCTTATGCCGATGACATTATGTTCATTTCACTTTGACATAGAAAAAATCAATATTATTGGTAGAGAAAATTACAACTGCGACACATTGTGTGGATTAAAGGAAAACATAAGCCGAATGACGCTGGCACTGACACCTTGACTCGTAAGTAGTGCAGCAAGAATCGAACAGCAGGTACTGCATCATTTGTATTGAGTGTTCTCCATCATCTGTAATCTTCGTTTTTCCAGCTGCATAGTAATTAATCCACACTTCATATCAGGACATTATTACAGCTAATCAATCATTTCTTGGACAACAAAAGTTTGGTATGCGCTGCTTAAGCTTGTTACGTTGTTAGCAATAATTGCAACATCCGTCGATAGGGAGAAAAAGTAAAATTTTGGCTCATCATCTTTATATTGGAGACATAAAGTTCAGGTGTCACATGAAAAGCTGATCTATCATCTATGGAACATATGGGCCTGTAACCTGATTTCAATGAACTTAAGTGAAGCTACAAATCATCTTTATATTGGAGACATAAAGTTCAAATTTGTTAATCTATCAAAAACAAATTTACAGACCTTTCACTGTCACATGGAAAAAAAAAGCAAATTTACAGACCTTTACTGTCACATGGACAGATTGTACAAATACCATAGACAGATTGTACATACCAATTGACTATGTTTGTCAAAATCCTAGAGTTGATAAATGACGTATTTGTGACTATTGCTGTTCCAAACAATTTGATGGTACATTAGCTATGTTTGTCAAAATCCTAGAGGGTTTTCCTTCAAATAACCAAAAGATCACAATTTGTAGGATTAGTTTTTTTTGGAAACAATAGGATTCGCTAGTCAATAACATGAATACTCACTCGTCTCGTGGCAAGGAAACTAATTTGTTTTCTGCCTGAGAATCAGAGACTATGCATATGGCTATCTGGTACGGTCAACTGCAGTGAGATGTAAAATGCAAAAAAGAAGAAATGAAACGGAAAAATAAGATGTAAAATAATGAAAAGCACTAAGCAGCCTCCCGTTTACCCAAGAAACCAAGGACAAGAAGCAAGTATACCTAGATGATTCATATGTTTACTTCTTAGTTGTACGATTCATTCTTAACTTGGTTTCACAAAATGTTATAGAAGAATTAGCACCACAAACAGATAACAAAAAACAGTTAACCTCCGTTGGAGTACCTTGGAACATGCAAACTGCATTCTTCTGTAGACAAAGGAAATTTGACACATCGTTGCAACTTATAAGGACAGCTAGAGAGCAAGCAACGACATATGGACCAGATCTTTGTTAATATATCAATCAGTGCATGAAGCAGGTGAAGGCAACACCGAGGGGAATCACAAGACATCAATTTGAACCCCTCCTGCAAGCCCCAGATTTCCATAATTCTCAGTGGGCTTCGAGTTTAGAAATCCCAATGTATTGTTACGTGTAACATGCGATTGACAATTTGGAGCTCCTATTACATATATGAGATATCCATTAAGAAACATAGCTCCAAGAAGACATGGATTTTCTCTGTTCATGGATAATGTAAAAAAAGCTCGTGGAACATTTTTGAAATCTCGAAATAAATATGTAGAGAGGGGACATGATGTACATGTACCTGGTTTGGGGATGTTCGATTGAGCGCATAGTCAGGAATGACATGGCCACATGAAAAAAAAATCCAAATAGCCTTTCTAATTTCAGTAAGTTCAGTATAATTTTATAAATCTACAACAGGGACAAAGGGGATATGCTGGCAATTTTCACAGCTTCCTCATGTCATGAACCCTTTAATTTGAAGTCACTATTCAGATTCAAAGGGGATATGCTGGCAATTTTCACAGATTCCTCAATCTTGGTGCAGGATATATGGGTAGCCTGTTTGAAAATAGAGATCTTTAGTTTCATATTAAACCTGCACTTCCAGATTTTGAAGCCACAACACAAGCGGCATGGGGGAAATTGGCTAAAGGGAGAGTGTGGCGACGTACCTGTCACTGCACCAGGCTGTGGATTCCTATTTGTCAAGCACATTAAATGAAACCCCTTAGATTAGCACAAAGCGATGACAACGCCTCATTCCAAATACACGCTGAGACCAACCTTTTGCATACTTGCATGTTAGTAGTGTGTATTCATGAGGAAGGCAATGGAGGAGCTGACAGTGCCAGATCAGCCGATACGTAGAGAAAAAAAAACTGAAGCAGATGTACACGTGCTTTCTTTTGAGATCACACATGCTGCCGACCATGTTCACAACAAAATAATGACGGGGGAGGAGAAGATTCTGTGATGAACTCACCAGATCTGGGCGGCGTGGATGGAGATGAAGATCAGTAGCATCTCAGGTCCACCACCATGTCGTCGTCGCACCGGTCGCTAGCAGGGGCAACTGCGGCTGCGGTGGGGGAAATTGGCTAAAGGAGAGTGTGGCGACGTACCTGTCACTGCACCAGGCTGTGGATTCCTATTTGTCAAGCACATTAAATGAAACCCCTTAGATTAGCACAAAGCGATGACAATGCCTCATTCCAAATACACGCTGAGACCAACCTTTTGCATACTTGCATGTTAGTAGTGTGTATTCATGAGGAAGGCAATGGAGGAGCTGACAGTGCCAGATCAGCCGATACGTAGAGAAAAAAAACTGAAGCAGATGTACACGTGCTTTCTTTTGAGATCACACATGCTGCCGACCATGTTCACAACAAAATAATGACGGGGGAGGAGAAGATTCTGTGACGAACTCACCAGATCTGGGCGGCGTGGATGGAGATGAAGATCAGTAGCATCTCAGGTCCACCACCATGTCGTCGTCGCACCGGTCGCTAGCAGGGGGCAACTGCGGCTGCGGATCGCTATGGAGAAGGTTGGGGAGGCTGATGGAGTGGAGCCTGAGGTCGACCAAGACGATGGCTACGGCTCTATGGTGGCCGCGGGGGCAGGAAGTAAGGACGCGATGACGGCGCAGAAGGCGGAGGGAGGAGGCAGCGGCTGTGCGGAAGGCAAGCGCGAGGTGCCGCGGCAACCGCATTTCACGCCGCCGCCACCGCCGTCGATGTCATCCTGGCGGCGGGGATTGATTGGAGGCAAGGAAGCGGAGGAAGGGATCTGGCCCAGGAGGCCAGGACGAAACCTCCGAGGTCGAAACTCAGGCCCGGACACGCACGCGCATTGCAGCTGAGCACAGGAAGGGCGACCTCGTCAGATCCGTAAACCGTCCGCGCCGGTAGCACGGTACCGGGAGACCGGGAACAGAAACGCGGCATGGCCACGCGGCAGACGACGGCTGGGCGCCCCGTATGTGAACAGTAACCAAAGCCTTGAGAGAGCGCGGAATCTAGGAGCTTTATGGAGTTGTATATTACACAAACGAATCTAAAGGGATGACTTTCAAGAACACACCAAACCTTGGCGGTCTCGTGCGAAATCTGCCTTCTACCTGCCAAACAACCGCAACACCATGCTTAAAAAAGGCGCTACAAGCGCCTAGACGTCGAGGCCGCGCTGCACGCGAAAGAAGCCTATGCTACCTGTTTTCGTGCGCCCCACCGCATGGACCCCACGCTGCGTACCGCCCTGCCATCGCGCTCGCTCCCTGTCGCGTAACCACCGTGTCCACATGTAGGAACCCGTGGGTCCTAGTCACCTGCCCCTGCCTGTGGATGTGTTTGCTGGCCTCGGGCGACCGCACAGTAACCCACAGTGGCACCGCAGCAGCTACGGTAGTTGGGTCCCATTGCAACATGTGTAACACTAGATCTATTTTTGCAACATTCAGATGAAACACTTGCAACATACGTCTAAAAACAACTTAAACACTTGCAAAACACAAAAAAAAACTTGCGAACACGTGTGTAGCCATTGCAAAACATGTGCAACATCCACATCTACTTTTGCAACATGTAGATAAAATACTTGCAACATACTTATGAAATAGATAAAACATTTGGAACATATACTTGAAACATTCATGTATAGTCATTGCAACTTGTGCAATATCCCAATGTATGTTTGCAGCATCGATATAAAAACTTTCAACATACCTTTGAAACATGTGAAACATTTAAAAACATACGTTTATAACATGTGCTTTCATCGCAATGTCACATCGTTGCTTGGACGAATGGAGGCTCGTCGTTACGGAGCTCGACGTCGGTGCAGAGGTCGGGTGCGGCAGCAGTGAGGGCAACTCGCCGGCGGGGTCGGCATCACACGAAGCTCCTCCCTCGCCTGCTGGCTAGAACATCCGTCATGGAGGGCTTGCCGGCTCGGTGGAGCAGTGGAGTGGCCACGACGAGCAGGTAGTGCGGTGGAGGCGGGCTGCACGGAGTGGGGAAGGCGAACGGCACGGTGGAGGCGGAGTAGGGAAGACGGGCGGTATGGTGGAGTGAGCGGAAGGCACGATAGCGAGTGGAAATTTTCTAGGAAGCCGTGTCCGTCCGTCTGGACGCCCTGACCCAGCATTACCGGGAAAAAAAACTGATAGGAGTCACAGCATGCAGTATGCATATGCGGTGTTGATGAATGGATGTGCTTTAACTGTTGCCTGATCGATGGCGCATTGCTTGCTTCAAACACGAGTGGTGTTGATCCGATGTTAATGCGGCCGGATATGCCACCCCTGTCTTGGGGCAAAAGATTTTGCCGTTCACCCCGTCATCAGCCATGTAGCAATTTATAGTGTCATGGCAAATAAAATCCAAGTGTCATATCCTGATCACCTGCGTCCTGGACTCCTGGTTCAGTCTTCCAGTTTCATAAAACGAAACAAAAGCTGCAATTGGCGTCCAAATCCATCCAACATGATCCGTTAATAACAAAACTGGACCCTGCTCGCCGCACTAGCACAATAAACCTTTTTAGAGGCCGGCAAAAGATGTTAACAGAGGCCGGCACCCGCCCGCCTTCGCTCACTGTTAATTATGATTTACAGAGGCAGTTGTAAATGTTTGCTTCTGTTAATCTAAATAAAAAACAAAAAAAGGCACAGTCCTGGTCGTTGAACGGGGGCCTCGATCTAGGCCGCTAGCACGCTGCTGCCCTGGTCCATCGAGGCCACCATCGCCGACCCCATCCTCGTCATTGGCGTGCCCCTCGCCGACCCCGTCCTCATTGTTGGCGTGTCCCTGTCCTTGGCTCGTCGCCCACCCATGCCGCTGTGTCTTCGCCTTTGTCAGTGAGCCGTAGATCTGAGAGAGGGAGGGTGAGCTAGAGAGGAGAGGAAGAGGGAAGGAAGAGATGAAGCACTCACCTGGTGATGAAGATGCGCGCTGCTACAAGCGAGAGGAACAACGGATCCGCGCCGCTGCCCGTGCGAAAAATCCGTAGGGTCCAAATCGTCCTCGGTTGTGCCCGACCCCGACAAGTGTGAAAGAGAAGACCGTGGACAACACTCATCAGCTTCTTCCCTATATAAAAGGAAAAGGGACATCTTCAGATAAATGTTCGTGTACTGAACTCATTCACAAGTAATAGAGTTGTGTTCCATTTCCTATCCTCTGTGTTCTTGTGCTTGCGTTGCGTACACACTAAGACTTTGTTTGGTTACTTGAGAATAATTCCCAACCACACAATTCCTTCATTAATTTACATAGCGTGGGAATGATTCCTCGCCGTTCCAGGCCAGGAACGGGCTAACCGAACACCCCCGTAAGACCACGTTCGGTACGCAGGAAATGACTTCGTGGAACCGGTCCTGGCCAGAACACTTACACAATTTGTATAGGCCAAGCTTCCCCAGAAATCGTTACTGGCAGCAGGAACGACAATAAACAAACGAGGCCTAAAAGAACTTGAATTCTAACAAGAAGTAGTCACTTCTGTACGAGCGCAAGAACTAAAACATAGTGAGATACATCTCTTTGATCGTCTTTAAGAAGTGTGTACCATCCTTGGAACGTGGACTGGTGAGTGGTGACATGGGTTTCATTGGGCCTGTTTGGATCAGTCGACCGATTGATGCTGTTTTGGTGTGAGAGGTGCAGCAGCTCTATCGACCGCTAATCTTCAACGGTCTAACGACTAACCAGCGGCTAGGCCCCCTCTTTTCGCTTCTTAGCCCGGCTCCGTGCACAAGAAAAGCGCTGCCGCCGCCGCCGCCGCCGCCGCTTACGACCACGGCGATAGCACTCGTGCTAGCCTCTCCAACGGCACCTGTCTCCAGTCTCCTTACACTCTCGGGGGATATCGGCGGCTGCTACTGTTGGCGTCGGAATACAGAGCGGCAGCGGAAGGATGAGTCGCGCTCGCGCGCGGAGGCCGCCCGCGTTGCTAGCAAAGGAGCGCAAGGCCGCCAGAGCACGGCCGAGCTGCATGCATTCAAGGAGGACTTCCGCTGGACCTTTGTAGGTTTCCGTTCACCTTCCCCTTCCCTATTGAGCTCATTGTTCCGTTGGTCCTTTTTCTTTTCCTGTTCACCATTCCACGTCACTTGTTTGATGAATTGCCTCGTCCGTTTGCTCTTCTTGGAATGCGAGTCTTACCACTTGGTAAGCTGTTATATTAATTTCTGCTTAACTAGGCATCTTGTATCTGTTCAGAAGCATACGTAACAAGTGCATATCTGGGGACCATTACCGCTGACTAAACCATTAGACTTAGACCAGACATAGAACGACTGGTGCCTGGTGATGAGATCTACGTCAAGAAGAATGGTCAGCATGTGGAGAGGTGTGAACACATCCTCTTGAAAGAATACCAGTCCTTTGCTTAATTTGTGGGTGCTTGATGTATGTATAAAGTTAATGAAAGCTCCAGCTGCAGAGGAGAAGCCTCCTCCCGTGACTACTGCACATTTGAACTTAGTGGAAGATCATTGCCTTTCTATGTGAACTTGTGACAATAGCACACCACCAACTACTGGTCAGCGTGCCACCAGTCCACCACATCATAACCTATGTCCTATGGTAGCATCCTCTAGCTTTTCATGCACCTGTGCTCCTCCGATCCCTCCCCTTGTCCCAAAATCTGTTGCTCCATCAGCTCGCCAGAGCAGAGCCTAGGTAGACCAAAAGATGTCGGGGTTGTTTGCATCTCTGTCCGTGGGAAGGGCATGGGAGAAGCTTTCCTCCTTCATGCGGGTGTTTACAACATCCTCACTGGTGCCCTCGTCATCCACAGCAAGCCACGACGATGATCTGGAGGAGCTGCGGAAGCTGGAGAGAACCATGTATAGGATCCGAGCAATGTTGGACGATGCTGAGGAGCACTGGAACATACGTGAGGAGTCTGCCAAGCTGCGGCTCAAGGAGCTCAAGGAGCTCGCGTACGACATCGAGGATGTTGTAGACGAATATGAGTATGAGGTCCTCCATCGATCTACTGGCTTGTACAGAACCGGCAAGCGCAAGCACCAGGAGGTAATTTGGTTCAATGATCTCTGTTTATGTAGTTCTGTAAGAAAGTTTCATGTCCAAGTTACACAGCAGAATATCAAACATACATGATTGACATAGCCTTTTCTTCTTTCTTCATGAAGGAAACTGAGGCCTATCCGGTGGATACTGGTTTGGTGGAAGTTCCTAATGACTTGGTTCTTCAAGCAAGAAAACTAATCAGGAGGTTGGATGATATCAAATATTACTCTGACCATTTGAGTTTATCAGAGAATGATGGAGAGAGACGGTATACGCCGGATATTAGTAGTGTACGACATACTAGCTCTGTTGTATTTGAAAAGAGCATTTTGGGGCGAGACCAGGACAAAGAGAAGATAATTGATAAGTTATTGTCTAGTGAAGTGGGAAATGCAGGAAATCATGTTTCTGTCATGGCTGTTGTTGGCATGGGAGGACTAGGCAAGACAACACTAGCACAACTTGTGTATAACAGCCCAAGGGTGAGGCAGTCCTTTGAGAAGCATGCCTGGGTTTGTGTGTCTGAAAACTTTGATATCAAAACAATGACAAGGAACATCATTACTTCCCTAACAAGTGTGCAGTGTATGTATACAGAACTTGCTGATCTTCAGAGGAAATTAGCAAAAGAAATGAATGAGAGGAGGGTTTTCCTTGTGTTGGATGATGTATGGAATGAGCGAAGAGACTGCTGGGAGATGTTTTGTGCTCCTATGACAGCTGCAAAGATTTGCCAGATCATAGTTACCACTCGGAGTGAGGTAGTGGCAAGGCTGATACAGACTATACCCTTTTATCCCCTAAATTGTTTAAGTTTTGATGAGAGCTGGTTGTTGTTCAGCAAAGCTGCCTGTATTGGTGAGCAAGAGTCTGACAGCCAAACAAACCGAATAAATATTTGTAAGAGTATTGTTAAAAAGTGCAAAGGCTTGCCACTGGCAATCAAGACACTAGGAAGCATGTTGCGCTATGAAACTGAAGAAAGCAGATGGGAGGATGTCTTAGAGAGTAAATTATGGGACTTAAAAGAACCGAGGGACGAGGTTCTGCCAGCACTGGAATTGAGCTACAAGCACATGCCCACATACCTAAGACGAAGTTTTCTTGCCCTTTCTCTATTTCCCAAAGATTATGAACTTGTTTCTGAAGAAGTGTGCCATTTGTGGAAATTACTTGACTTGCTTGATTCTGATAGAAGTGATGATGAGTGCGAAATTGGACGATGGTATTTGAAGGAATTGGTTGGAAGGTCAATACTTCAGCCTCATCCTATTTATGGTGATTCATACCTTTTGCATGATCTTGTCCACGATCTTGCATGCTTTTTTGCTGGGGAAGAATTCCATAGAGTTGAAGGAGATACCTTGAGTCAAATTCCACAAAATGTTCGGTATCTGTCCATAAATAAAGCTATTACATCAGCTGACATTTCAGTTTTTCCACATACTCTGAGAGCCATCAGAGTGTTTGAACATTGTACCAATATCAGTCCAAATGCAGTTCCAGAAGCATTATTTTCAAAATGTAAGAAGTTGCGAGCTCTTGACATAAGCCATAGCATGGGCCTTGGCATGGCACTGCATGATGGCGTGGGGAACCTGAAACTGCTACACCATTTGTTTGTACAAATTGATCGACTTGTGGGAAAATCTACTTCTCATCATGTACAGAATCTAGTACTCAGTGGAATTAGGCACCTAACTCGTCTGCATACTTTGCCTGGTATACATATTAGCAGACGTCATTGTAGCTTGAACATAAGAGACCTGAGGAACATCAACAGAGTAAGAGAGCTGAGTATTTGTGGATTGAGTAACATTCGCCATGTCGAAGATGCAACTGAAGCCCAGCTGCAGAGGAAAAAGCACCTCCGATCACTAAAGTTGAGCTTTAATGGAGGAGAGGGTCAGTGTCCATGTAGATTGCATGAAAAACATGTGAACATACCACACAACCAACTACTAGACAGCTTGCGACCGCATCACAACCTAAGGGAACTGAGTATACACCGTTACGATTCTGGAAAATACCCTAGTTGGCTAGGAAATACTTCATTCTCCATGTTGAGCAGAATAGCAATATGCCATGGTGAATCCAAACACCTCCCAAAACTTGGTGCCTTGCCTTCCCTTAAGTACCTCACTGTCAACGATATGAAATATATGACGGAGTGGTCAGAATGGCCTGGAACTGATGCTGGAGGTTTTCCGTGCCTAAATACACTTTCGATATCATTTTGTCCGAAAATGATCTCCCTTCCATTGGGGCCATTCCAATCTTTGATAACTTTGAATCTAAGGTGGTGTGATAGCTTGGCTAGGTTACCTGAATCCCCTTCTCTTCGTAAACTAGAGATCGGATATTGTCCTGCCCTAACAGAAATTCCTACTCTTCCATCCCTTTTGGTACTAATTGTTAAGGTATGTTCTGGTCTACGCAAACTTCCTACTCTCCCATCACTTCTGGAATTGGACATATTCGATTGTCCAAGTCTTATTTCCATTGGTTCTGATTTTCCAAGCCCTGTTGTGAGTTCTGTCTGTTGCTTCCCCAAACTAACGACCTTGAATCTAGAGCAGTGTCGAAATCTTTGTGCAGTCGGCTCTGTTCCTGCACTCACCACCTTGAATCTCAAGTCTGGACTGAGTGATAAGTTAATGTACAGCCCATTGAATGACTTCCCATCGTTGCAGTGCTTAAATATTGATGATTCAGAGTTTACATGCATACCAATTAAACAACAAAGTCTGCCCTCAGTTACAAGGCTCTGCATAAATAAGTGCCCTAATCTCCAGTACTGTGATGGGCTTGCTAGTCTTACTTCCCTTGAGCATCTCGAGGTTGGGGAGTGCCCAAAGCTCCCCATAGATGATCTGCTTCCACCACAACTGAAGACTCCTACCGTTGAAGATAATGAACATGGTATGTAATCTGTCCTTGTCAGCTTTGCTAGTTTCCTAATGTAACGGGCTTGCTAGTCATGGTATGTAATCTGTTATGCTCAGTTAGTGTCACACGCACGCCGGAGCTTATGCACGACGTGCGCGTTCTGTGCTTGACGCATGACTGGTTCGTGCGGGAGCACAACCGTGGCATGGTCTGGACTTTCGTGCCATGGCGCAAGAAGCATGGATCATGGTGTGAGGTTCAAACCTGGTGGCTATAACTTTGTAGTCGAGTTTTTTCTGTTTATAAGGAAATCAATAGAGTCAAAACATGTTGCAACTCCGCAGCCAATCTTGTGTTATCTGTTCCTCTGTGTTTGAGGGTGTCCAGACTCTAGACCCAGGAGCTCGCTGGAGTTAATGTACCCCGGCTGTCTTCTGGCATGAACCACATGTACACAGGTATTTTTGAACGGAGTTAGACAGTAATACTTTCTGATGGAACTTTTGTCCAGATGTTTTCAGGATCTGCATAGCAGACCAATAAAAAGGAGAATCGTTGTATGGTTGTTTTGTACAACTTTAGTTCTGTTTTCTCAAAAAAAAAAAGACTTTACTGCTTCTATTCCAGTGACAGCACTCATTTCAGGTTGTCTTAAATGAGTTTTTTTTTCTGCTTGAATGGAACCAGATAGTACTACAGTGTGAACCAGATAGGTGCTTGAACTCTATATGTGCAATAAAGGTGGGAATCCCTATTTTGAAAGCGCTAGTGATGATGGATTGCTCATCTGAACAACTAGTGAAAGGAATCTTGTCAGAATTGAATTTCTAATGGTATGTAACTAAAGCTTATCACAATTACATTTTTGAGAAATCTTATCACAATTAATTTGCTCCCTACGAAATACATTTTGTTCACGCCTATACCTATTCTAACTGCATTCTGAAAAGTTCTGTTTTAGCGATATTTTCTCGTTCTCAATCTTCCCCACTATAAGTCTGAACGTTGTGTCCCGATGATGCAGGCCTGCAATTACAGACTAGATACTGTCCAAACCTCTCTATGACTCTATGTACCAACTTCGTCCGCTATAAATTCTTATATTGTATTAGCGTTACAGGTTATATCTAATTGAATCATGACTGCAATAAATATGTAAATAATATTTCATTGCCAGTTCTACCTAATTACATTGTGGTTATTCTTGCTGATCAATTTACCTTTCATTTCTGAACAGGCACAATTTCTACTTTGCCAATTGGAAACTACAAAATTATTTCATTGCATTCGCCAGCAGATCCTTTTAACTCGAACTCTGTCAGCGAACAAGTGGGGTCAAGTAATTCCTGGCGATACATTGTGTAAGCATATATTCTAGGATCGAAGTATCTTCTCCTTGCCAACCATAGTGATACATGCTGAGCTCACTTCACAGATAAGAAAGGGATTTTCTTGTCCATGAACTATTCTCATGTGCTTTTTAAAATTCAAGGGGAACCTGTATAGTTCCACACAGGACCCTAACTGTTTAACCAAGTAGTTGCTTTGTGCCTTTTCCTGATCAGCAGCAAAACAAGGAGATGATTTGTGCTCAGTTTATGTTAGCAAAAAAATGTAAAGATTCTATTTTTCTTTTTTTCTACCAAAACATGTTGTTACAAATATTTCGTCAAAGTTGAACAAAGAGATTGTGGAAAACGTTACTAGGAAACATGCCCAAAAACGCCGGCGATGACTTTGTGTTGTGAATAAATAATCAAGAAAACACAAATGCAGCAAAGGCTGCAGCCATCGCAACGACGCACACGGCCCCAGTCCCGCCGCGTCGCGTCCCCGCAGGCGCCGCGCCGGAGAGCGGCTCGTAGTACGACGGCGGCACCGACGGGAGACCGCGGCCGCGCGCCACGCTGACCTGAAACCGCATCCCCTTCTGGCAGTGCTCCCCGTTCCAGGCGTCGGAGAAGTAGTTGGCGCCCTCCGTCGTGAGCATCACGGCGAGGAACGCCCCCTCCGGCTTCCACCCGCTGCCGCCGCCGCTCGCCGTGACGCCGGTGCTGCAGAGTTTGTAGACCGTGGAGTTCGTCGTGTGCACCACCGTGTTGCCTGTGTCCGTCTTGAAGCCTTGAGAGTGAGCACGCCACACACGTCACACACAATGTCAGTAACTAGCATCGATCGAGCTCCCTACGTAGTGCTTTGCAGAGTGGAAGCTGAGAACTCACTGAGGTAGTCGCCGAGGTAGAAGGTGCGGTTCGCAGCCCAGGCGGAGTAGTTGGCGCCCGAGGCGTTCGCCTTCCAGTCGAAGAACCACCCGGTGCCGTCGCCCACGGCGTGGTTCGTGCCAAACGGCGGCAATGGCGCCGTCGTGTTCTTGGTCGGGCTCGAAGTGGAATTGGCCGTGGAGGTTGGGCTCTCTGTCGTATTGCCTGCGGCTGCAGCGGTCGTTACGGCAAAAACCATGACTGCTACTCGGAACATCACTGTCGTCGGAATGCCCATGGCTGGCGGCATCTGGCACTGAGAAATCTGGTGATGATGTGCTGCTAATGCTAGACTTCAGTCAGAAGCTTCAGATGCTAAATGGGCGACTCTTTCTGTCAGTGAAGACTGCCTTATTCGGCTGGCTGAAAAAACGACTGATGCTGATTTGTTGTGAGAAAAAAACACTATTATTTCGCTGAAATGGTACAGCTAATAAGTTCTAGCGAATAGGGCCATTAATGGTGATGGGGTGATGTCAACGGTTTATGCGGCATTCAGGTGGTGGCGGCACCGGCTCGGGGGAGTTGCAGCAGACACCTGGCTAGATACCATGCTGTGGCCGGTGACTAGGTCTATGGACTATGGTAAAATATACTTATGATAATTGTGTGACTAAAGTGCCTAGGAAATGGTGTTCACTTCAGATCATTATATATATTTTTTGTGATATAAGTTAAAAAAAAAAAATTACTGTTCAGCCGGACTTGATAGAAAACATTCACAGTTAGTTGTATACTATTACTAGTGTTGAGTGAAGCTACAATCACTTCTGTGTAGAAAATTTCTTACATGATGCTGATTTGGAGTAACGCCAAGCATTTTTTTTATAGTTACTGTATATTTACCTCACAAATATCATATTGACATACAACAATGGGTACATGGTTCTCGTACAATCAAGTTTTCCGAGCTCATCTCTTGAGGTACCTGGTGTAGTCACGTTCCTGTTGTCTGCAGATCATCTTAACAGTTAAGTGTCCGATTTGTGAGTACATCAACTCAAGTTTCTGACTTCTAAGTACCACAACACCAGAACCCTTGCTGTGAATTGAACCCTCGCAAAAATGCCATGCCTGGGACCTGCTGTTGTGTTTCAAGTACTGATCGACTCGGTTACCAAGATGATATAGCTACAGGGTTCATTTTTCCGGTTCAGAAACTAGGAGTTACCCTTTGCACATCAGCTAATTACCTTCAGATCTTGAATACAGAGCTTCTATAGGAAACTAATACTAACCTATTTTTAGAGTCCAGTTAATTGCTATCCCCAGATCCATCTTCACTCTTCGAGTCACTTAGCAAAGGCATGAATGCTGCAAAAAGAACAGCAACCTTGTTTGCTAGGAACCCTGCAGTGCCAACAAAGAGCTCGGTCGGTGTGAGTTCAAAGCTGTCACCTCCAGCACCATACTTTAGTGCAACTGCACCTGCAACCAGTACCAGTGATAGTATCAACCATGGCCTCCTTACACCACTGAAACCTTTTACTGAGGGCTGCGCACTGCCAGCTTCTGAAGGTGAACCAATCACGGGCAAACCATCAACCGATCTTTGGAGGAGCAACAGATAGAGGAACCCAACAATGCCACCTATCAGGAACGAATAGGCAGCGCTGTCATTTGAAGCCAAGATGAAGGCGGAGAAGCCTGTTATCACTATAGATGCGTCATAGAGCAGCAGAGATTGTTTGAGGTCAGCGTACTCTCTCAACCCATCCTCTCTTAGTTCCTTAACGCTTGAAGCTTTGCTTTCTGAGGATAACAGCCCTTCTTGAAGATCGGAAAGGCCAACTCCTGAGAGGTCAGTGACAGCCACAGGCCTTGCTTCAGCTACTGAAGCTCCATCATCTCCAAGAAATGCATTTATTTTCTCAAAAATGTACTGCAAACCGTTGAACTTCTGTTCAGGTGTTCCATTAATTTCTTTAGGTGGATCAACCGGTCCATGTATTACTTTCAAGCTCAAACCATCTAATCTCCATGAACCTAACCTTCAAGGGTAAAATTAATAAACAAAGGATAGAAAACACTCATCAGGTGAACATACTACCATTACATTATATTTGCAAAGAACATGAAATGGAATGTACCTGATTCAAGACCGATCCAGACTTCTTTAATCCTTTTCAGTTTTGACCCCTTGAAAGTGACAACATCAACTGAACCACTTTGGAAGGGTATCAGTTGCGCTATCTTAATTCCAGGTGTAGGTTGACCCAAATAGATTGCCGGTACTCTTTGTAGCAAGGAGTCACCATCAACATCAATTAAGCAGATTAAGATTGCAGAATTTTTATCCAAAGAGGAATTAAATTCTGTACTTGTGCTAAGCTCTAGCACATAGAACGCATCAGAGTCATCTAATATGGTTGTGTTAAATATCTCCTCAGGAACAGTATTGGGATATGTCTTTAGTTCCTCTGCTGGAAGAAGGCGTGAAGGCTTTACAGAGGGCACCAGATCTGCAGAGTTGAAGGAACAATGGTCACTGATTGGTATGGATAGAATGGTAAATTTTCACAACCAAGAAACATAGCTTTCATGTTGTCAATAATAATATAAAATGAGAAACTAAATAGGAGAAAACAAACTACAACTACATTGCATCCGGTAAAGTGAAAAGTTAATATGATTCATTGTGGAAGCAGAAACAGTTGCATGACTAGGAAAGCGAACAACTACACAATATGAATGCATACTATATTGATGGGTATATTACAAAGAACAATTCACATAGAAATACATTGTTTACCAGTGCACAGAAATAAGCTTGGAGCGACAACATCAAAAGTCTGGTCAGACAGTACCTTGAAACGAAGACCCCTTGGAGAAGCAAGCCATCCTCTGATGTCTGTTTTGTCTTTTTGGTTTCATTCTGTCTGGAAAGACATGGCCATACATTCTGGAGCTATTGTTCAGCAGCAACCATCTGGGCAGAAAATTATGGTGAACCGATGGAGCAACACGCCCTGGACAGAGGATCGCCATTCTCTGTAGTAATGATAGCAAAGCAGACGTATTAGCTGTAGCAAACAGGGGTGAAGATAGCTCTGATATGCTCGTTACCAACGTATTAAATATCAATGCATACATTTCGTGACTGAACCTTCGGGAGCCGAAGTGCCAAGCTAATTAAGGACCACAAAGAAATCAAAGGCACCGAGATCAGCGGGGGCAGAGGATACATGTGAAGGTAGCAAATGGCCACCCGTGCACTAGTATTCGTTCATGGGATAGCAAGGAGCAGAATTATGCCTAACGAACAAATCAAAGATAATAACATAACTGAACTGAACTGCGATAACAGCATGTCAGCATGGACAGGATGGTCACTATTAGAATAGCACACCTCAAGTGAAGGCAAAATCACCAACCATAGATCATGTCCTATGCTTGCTGTTCCATAGTGCAGTGGTACACAAACAAATAAGCTAGGTTGCACCAAAGAACTAGACTTAAAAATTCATGGCCCGCCTTACCGGAGGCAGGAGGAATTGGTTGAGGCGCGGATGTGGGATCTCTACCCGGCGGCGCTCCAGTCCACAGGAGGAGACGAGGAGGACGAGGCCGTCGGATTCCGTGGAGCTGGTGGCGGGGAGGAAGAGGCGTGCCGCGTTGGAGTTCGGCGGCGGAGAGAGACACGTGGGATGGAGAGGCACGTCGCCGCGGTCTCGCCGCCGAGAGACCCGTGCGAGGGTGTTTTCGGGATTTCGCGGCTTGATATTTTCTGCCCCGAGGAAAACTGTGGTTGCGGCCCGCGGTCCAGTCAGGAGCTTTTTTCGCGTTCCTTTTTTCCCCTTCGGGTTTTATACGAGGCCCGGGGCTGTGAGACTGTGCTATGCGTGTATTGGTCTGGCTGACAGATGGGCCCGGGAGAGATGAGGTTTAGGACGCCAACAATGATGGATTATACCCATCTAATAAAAAGTCTCTGGATTAGGTTCTATTGTTCTACTATGCTAATGCATCATTGAGACCTCTCCCCTGCAGAATTCAATTATCCGTTGACACTTACAAGTATATTTGCCCGTGCTAACACTACGGGTTATATTAAGTCAAAAGTTAATTCTATCAAATTTGAATTACTCCCTTAAAGATTCAATCAAAACATATTTCTGTGGCTCCAAAAAATTGAAGTGATGCATGTTCAAAAAGCATAGATGTACTTTTGTCATAAAAGTTAGAACTCAATCTCGTTTTATAAAAAAACATATAAAATGACAAAAAATCATTGAATTTATTATTCTCGTATTTTTAAATAAATTTGAGGTAATCCCAACTATTGAAACAAAAGACACCTTTGGGATATGGATGCATCTCATATTTTTTTGAGCAATCGAAATACAGCTTTTTTGGGTTCTCATGGTTTGCACCACATATTCCCTCCCCCACCTGCTTGTACAAAAGACATTGTCCATGTACATAAGATTGCAAAAGATCAATATGTATGTAAAGCAACCCAATGTACAAACAACAACAATTTTAACCATGACACCGGACCACATGTATATGAAAGGTTCCGCTGGTAGACTCTTTAGTCATCCTTGAACACAAAATCTAGATGTCACCTCTCAATCTCAGTTGTAAAATCAATGAACCAGACGTGATCTCACAATGCCAACTACATCAGAGTACACTTATCATCATCATATTTTATTGGCCCATGTTTCCAAGAATTCGCTCCACTGCAGCATGAACATTTCTAGCGGTAGCGGCCAAGGCTCGGATGTTCTCTCATGTGTCAAGAAACCCATTTCTTGGAGCTTCGCTAATTGTGTTGCATACAATTCTTCTGTGGCAGCACTGCAAATTTTGACATTACTTTGTTGATGAGAAGACTTCAAAAAATTACCCAGAGAAAAGCTTCAAGAGATCATACAGCAATTTGTCTGCCCAATATCCTCTCCTAAATCAGTAAAATTGCATGGGCATAGTTAATAAAAGCCCAAGATGTTTTTAATGTCATTGGTAACAAAGGCAAATAGATCAACAAATATGCATCGCAGTGAAAAAAAGGAAACATTGAAATACAGAAGTGTATTGTAGAGGAAGAAAGCAGCCCCCACCTTTGTGAGGAAAGCATGGTATGTTAATGCACAATAGAAAAATAATATCTCCGTCAACTTTGTATGGCTCTGTATGCAGGATTGTAAAAGGTTATCTCATCAGTAAGCTTCGGTTGAATAAGGTTCTTCGCATAATGAATATATTTCTTCAGAAATTTGACAATTAGCCTATCTTGCTTGGCTTTCTTGCCTCTTCTATCCTGACCATGGAGCAATACTCAACAAAAAATGGCTGCATTAGCATAACCATCATCTTCTTCGGCATATCCCTCTTTATGCCTGTTCGCTTGTCTGAATTCTGGAGGAATCTGGATAGTTTGGAGGAATGCTGGAAGAATTTGTGAGAGAAAAACATTGTTCCGGATGAAAAAAATAAGCGGATCAAGCCGGGTTTATGGGCACGCGAACGGGGCCATAAAGATACCTCTTATCCTATAGTTTATGAGGTTGTCTTTTATTAAGCAAATGAAAAGAATGGAAGAATTAAAAACAAATATATTCGACTGTAAAACAGCTAAGCTACCTCCATCATCAGTGTAATATCTATGCATTCGCGCAGCGTGTTCTGAAATTTGCCGATCAATCTCAGGATCCATTTGATCAAGAATACTAATGGAACTATGCAAACTTATAGAATATGCCAGAGTAATAAACATCCATCTTAAGAAAATAGCATACACATTGCACAACATATTATCTGGAGCTGGATCGTTAGCAACATATGCAAGCAGGTTTGGACAAGGTTCTAGCTTCTAACTTGTTTACTACACATGAAAACCAGCTATGCAAATGACAGGATTCCGGGTCAGTAAAGAAAGAAAGAAAAGAAATTGATGATATGCCTCGTTTCCTTTGCAGAGATAGTGATCCTTTTCGGGTGAGATTCAAGAAATTCCTCCTAAAAGTAATCAGCTAGTAGCGAAATTGCTTGAGAATGGAGATCCCCTACCACCCTCTGCACCAAGTTTCAAATGCCCATATCAACCGTAGGAGAAACACTGAAGATGACGACAAGAAGCAAATAATTTAATCCAACAAGCAGGGCTGGGGAGAATCGAACCTTTGAGCAACAGCTCAAGGTCGTCGGACTGTTGACAGGCGGACAACAGCCTCTGTGCTCCGCCGCTAACCTGCGCGTTGACGTTGCGGTGGTTGTTGGCGTGTGCTCACTCCTGCGTTGCGCCTGCTGCCTCCGAGTCCTCATCGACAAACCAAGTACCGGATCCACTCCTCCCTTCGCCGCATCCGATCGTACTTCGCCGGATCCGGCTGCTCCTTCGCCTCCACCGAAGAGGGAGATCCCATCCTTGATGGCTGATGTGGGGCCGCCCATGGTGTGGAGGACAGGAGGTGGAGGTGGAGTAGGCCCCGAGTGGATGGATCGCCGCGCGCCCGCGCCCGCGTGGCCGTGGCGGAGGAAGACCCAAGATTGCAAATTTTAAATCTGGACACTGTAGCACGTTTTATTTGTATTTGACGAGCTTTGTTTGATCATTGATTAACTAGGCTCAAAAGATTTGTCTCGTGATTTATAACCAAACTGTGTAATTAATTTTTTTTTTACCTACATTTAATACTCTATGCATACGTCCAAAAATTAATGTGATGAAGAGAGAATGAAAAAACTTGAAATTTTGAGTTAATCTAAACAAGGCCGAAGCGGTGGATCGCGTCGCTCGTTTCGCAAGGGGAGGGATGCCAAAGAAAGATGATGCTTTTATATGTGTGCCGTTAAAAAAGTTTGTAATTACGCACAAGCTATTAAAAAAATTGAGCTCTCACGAGTGTTATCGTTCTAAACTTTTTTGCTCTCCAAGCCATTCCTTCTATGTTCTGTTTGTTTTTTACCGTTTGTTAGCCCTTACATATGGACCCGGTCAGTGTAAACGTCCAAAATACCCTTCTCTTGTCTTATCCTCTTGTTTCTTTCTCTCTCTGTCTAGTGGGGTCAAACTGTCAGCGACCCGACTCCACCTTCCTCCCCGCCGCGCGCCAGCCTCATGCCGTTCCGATGTCGGGGTGGAGCTCACTCGCCCGCGCCTGCGCTCGCGTGGTGGCCGGGCGGAGCTCCTTCCTCGGCTTCCGCTGGAAGGACACTGCCGAGAGGGGCACGAACTAGAGGTTCTTGAGCCGATCATGCCGCTACTGCAGCTCCCCTTTGCTCACCCTATCCATCCCCGCCTTCACCACCACCTCCGCGGTGGCCGCGCTCTCGCCACCGACCACCACATACCGCTTGGTCCCGCTTGCCATGCAGTCAAGCACGCACATGGCGTCGTCGTCGGACTTGTTGGGGCGCCTGCTGCTTGGGTGACAGGAACCTGGTGCAGGAGAGCTCGTCGCGTGGCCGCTAGATGGTATCGTCGTGTTCGGTTGGTGCTCCGGTGACGACGACGACGAGACGGCCTTCTCGACGTTGGCCTTGACTCGAGGCCGGAGAAGCCAGCCTTGTGCTTGACGCGGTGGTACGCCGGGGTCATCGAGGATGGAGATGATGAGATGCTCGATGTCGACCTTGGCGGCGAACACCGACCACGGGCGGTTGTCCCCATGCTGCCCTCCTTCCACGGTGCCACGGCGGCTGGTGTGTGTACTAAGGCTGCGCTTGAACGCGACGACGAAGCGCGTTGGACAAAGACGCAGCGCAGTGCTACTTCCGTGCCCGCCATGGTGGAGGGGGGTGGGGTGGAACATGATGATAGGGCGGGGCCAGCTGTGGGGAGGCGGTTGAGCGCGACGTTGAAGGAGAGCTCGAGCGCCTTGCCCTACAGCGGGTGGGAGTGGGAGAGGAGGCAGGCGGCGCGGAGGAGCCCCGCCGCCGAGAGCATGGCGCTGGCGACGTGGAGCAGGGTCACCAGGGCCACGGCTTGCCGCACCACGGCTGCCACCTCCGCGGCCAGCGCTTGCTGCACCGCGCAGCCG